ACCCACCGAGCATATACCTATATTCAGTTGAATCGATAGGATATCTGCTTAGGGCAATGACCAAGTCAACCGACATTTAGATATGCCGATGGTCATGTTTCTGAAATCAGTAAAGACAGTATTTTATGAAGCAAGAGAGATGAACTAGCAGATTAATTAGATTTGTTTCCGCAACCATAATGCCGATAACATATACGTATATGAAAACCTTAGGAAACGCTACTTACCGCTTATGTTATTTATAACATTTAACTAGTTATTGTCACCGCGGCTATCTGGAGGGATCCTTATGATGAAGAGCCCAATACGAAGCGGAATTTTCCATCAAATCGGCCATGAAGACCAGGTGGAATTGAATATAAAAGGGCCTCCTTATTCGGCCCCTAGATAGTTGATCATCGTCAATCATCATCACCAAATTAACTTCTTCATCTTTGGCAGCCTATTCATCCCTGGGACTCGGTATTCCTATACCTTACCTACCTTTGCCATCTGTCAATCAGACATTTTGAAGCAGTGCTTCGTCTTTCCCAAAAGTCCAACAGTAGCATATCATCGAGTTTTGAAATATCCGAATATTTCTCCAAAGCGGGTGATGAACCCAGACTGGCCATGTGCAGGATCAAAATAAAACAGGTGATCTAGATCAAAGTTTTCGTGAGTGAGTTCACGAACATCCCTTCAGATATTTTTTTCGGCACTGTTTTCAGACATGACAATTGTGACAAAGAACCGAGAATTCAAGGTGCATAAGGTGATTGTTTGCGGACAATCTGGGGCTTTCTCCCATGCCCTTAGAAACGACTGGATGGTAAGTGGAGAACAATGTTCGAGTCAGACAATATACTAACATCTAGATAGGAAGCAAAAACGGCCACGGTAGATCTTGCCGAAGATGACCCTACAACTATTGAAGCGATGATCCACTTCATGTATGGTATCAACTATGAAAACAGTAGCAGTGACCACGATCGTGGTTTCCCAATGCTATTCAACATCAGGGTCTACCAAGTGGGAGACAAATACGACGTGCCGAAACTGAAATCGCAAGCAAGGGAAAATTTTATAAACGCTCTCGAAAAAAATTCGAAGATAGATGATCTTCCTCTTGCCATTGCGGATGCGTACCAAAAAACAGTTTCGACTGACCGTGGCCTCCGTGATCCAATTCTCAGCACTACCTTGTGTCATATCGATGCGTTGCTGGAAAATGAAAGTTTCAAACAAGTCCTACAGGAAACCAGCAATTTTGCGGTTGACCTTGTCCAAAGACAAGCCCAAATGACCGGGATGAAGGTGTACAGGTGTCCGCATTGTTGGAAAGAATGCACCATGATAAGAGTTCCGGATGCTAAATACTGTCCTAAATGTTCGGCCCCTTACAGACAACCAGCAATAGACCACGAATGGCGGGACTTGGGGGCGCCTTATAAGCACAGAAATATGCAGAGCTGTTCAAGGCCTTCTTGTGAGAAGAGAGACAAACACCTCAGCCAATCAGCAAATAAAAGATTTCAATCAGAAAGCCAAACACCTTACTCCTCTATTCCTACTGTATCCAGTGTTATAACACCCGTGCGCTTAAACTAAAGATATCATAGTCTTAATATGAATTGATCATCATTCTTCACCGCACCTTCCAAGCGTAGAGCAAGGTCTCAAATCTTTGCGGTTAAGTTCTGAGAAATATGGTTATTTCCATCAATCGAGCCTCTCATTAAATATCAAATTTTCCTTTCTCACCGTTAATCCACAATGAAAATCATACCCACGAGACTAACAACAAACTACAATACAAAATGTCTATAAATACAAACCCTATCACCCATCCCCATCTCACATGCTTAATCAACATGAATCCTCCTCAAACACCTCTCCGCCAAACTAACGAACGAGCTCCTCGTATGCATCATACTAACATTATCACTGACAAGGAAGTCGCCCTCTTCCCAGGAATGCCAATAGCAAACACGTCGATCATGCAATAGTCCGTCCAAAACCGCACAAACAGCATCGGAGTTCTCAACGCCATCGATGGTTACGCTGGTTGGGTCGAATGCTGTTTTCTCCTGCGGCCAGGGCTCGTGATAGCGGAGAGATGGACGTCCGGTTGCAGGGTGAGGAATGACGAGGGGGAGGTTAGGAATGACGGCGTCGTCGAAGGAGGTAGTGCGAACGGTCCAGGTTAGAGGGCTGAGTGTTGAGAGAGGGAGGAAAAGAGGCAGGTTGGCGAAGACGAGATGAGAGGGGGCGAAGAGCGTGTAGCCAGTATTTTCCGGGGAGGAAGTGATGGCGGTAAACATTTGGAATCTAGATCGCAAGTTAGCTCGGGGGAATAGTATAGAAGAGGGCCAGGAGGCATACTTAGGAGGAAGAGAGACAACCTTTTCGTTGCCGTCGGAGTCAATCTCTTTCTTAATCTTGAACAGCCCATCGTAGTGGTATGGCATCCATTCAGCGGAAAGAACGTTGTTCAACCCTTTGCCATCGGATCCGTGGTCTTTAACCTCCAGAATTAGCCCGAACTTCCATCCTACGGGCGTTCCCATTTCCTCGGCCTTTTCAACAAAGATATCCCGATCAAGGGTATCTCGGAACCCTCGCAGAACAACGGGTGAGTTTTCTTGCGAGAGCAGACGGAGCTTCTGCATATCCACGTCTTTGAACGACGGCCGCGTACCATTGACAGCCTGAATGGTTATGCCACATGGGTAGTTGAACTCGACGCTGACATCGCTGGACAACGAGTAAAGGTCACTCTTCTCTCGGAAGTACCACGGCTGTCCGTTCCGAGAAACGAGTTCCGTCTTCTCGTCACTACCAAGTGTGTCCCGGTGCTCGAACTTCATGTGCCCGTCAATGCTAAAGTAGGGCGCGGAGTGCCAAGGCGTTACGGGCGAGACAGTCTGAGGAAGAACGGAGATTGAGATTTTTCGTGATCCATTCGATGGATGGATGGACAGTCGGACGTGGTCAGGGAAGGTCTTCGCGATCGCCTGCGCGAATGCCTGGATGATGTTAGCTCCATCCGTCGGTCGGGCTCATTCAACATACAGCACCTCTGACGATCATCTTCTTGGCGATCTGCTCGCACTTTTTCTTGTGTTGGCTCTTTGTACTATCCCCCATGGTATGTGCCAAGTCTGTCGTGAGGAACTTGATATATCCACGATACGTTGTGCAGACATCCTCGTCTGAAGCGATACGTTCATTAACATCGTGGTCCGAAGGGGTGTGAATACGAATGAGATCTTCGCGGAATTGCGGTGCTCTCTCCTCGTAGGTCTTGGCATCAAGAGCGATCTCGTTGACCATGTAGAGGAGATCGCGCAGGTGGACGAAGGTAATATTAGAGAGTTCCTTCTCTCGGACCATGGCACGCAAGTTCTGTCCATACTCCCAGACCTCCCTGTCGGGGACACCCAGAAGGTCTGATTATGTTAGAACAGAGAGCGAAAGACAAAGAAGAGCACTAACCGTTGTAGACTAGACCATCCGAAGCGATTGTTAACTTGGCTCCAGGGGAATAAATGTCTGCGATCGCAGCACAGAGTCCGTTCAAATGGGCCAATGAAATTTCTTCGCCCTTGTCGGGTAGGCTACCAAGAGTCTTGCTCTGGCGATTGGGCGACTTGAAAGGAAATGCAGGCAAAACAAGCTGAATCGCCCTTTGTGTGCGTACTTGGCCATAGATTATAGACAGAAACTTGAGGTTGCCCTCGTCCGAGCGGTCCTCAACGTTCGACGGCAAGACACTGCGGTATCGGTCAAGCACGTCCAGGATGTTGCAGGCCGTTTGCAGAGCGGGTCCGTCAAATCGGCCCTGCATAAGAGACAGGGCTGATGACGAACCGTCAGAGTTGGACAGACGTCGAACCATACTGTGTGTTCTTCAAGACAAAGGAGTGCGAAAAAGCTACTCCAACAGACGCAGAAATTTCTAACACATCCTCCATCTGCTCGAGATTATATACAGGCATCAACTGCACGGAGACCGACGGTGGCTCCATCTCATTGGATCATTCGCAGCGGCCAAGAGTTTCGCCCAACAAAACATACTATTCACGCGGTTCTAGTTTTTCCTCCCCCTGGATCCTCTCCGAGTAGCGTTCTGACCAAGACCTTTGTCATCTGTGGCGCCATCCTAGAAGGGATTCCGACCTGATTCCGAACTCTCAGCTGTTCGCTTAGAATTTAATGTAATTTAGGAGTCTGGTAACCGACCCCTCCGCGCTAACGTTTCGGGGTCGGGATAAGAGTTCCTACACTGTCAAAACGGCTTAATAAGTAGCGGAATAAGACCGCGCATTGGCCGTTGACAGCCGGTTCCTGATTGCTAATATGGTTGATTGAGTGTGACAAGCTGCCTTGGCGGATCCACTGTGGCTACTCCCCATCTTATCTCGGCCGGAGTGAGGAAATCCAGAACAGGCAACAGCCCTATTCGACGGAAAGGCTTGAACTCAACGAATTTGGATTATTCGACTGTATGTTGCTAAGGTGTGCGACGACGGAGAGGTCCTGTTAACAATCAATAACCAATGCCCTGTCCAGGGTGACTATGTCGGGTACACCGTATGTGGTCTCTCTTGCCTCCTTCCCCATCATTGGTCACTCCGATCTAATCTCGGCTGGAGTGAGGAAAATGGTGAAGGAGTTCCGAGATAGGGTTCGTGATAATTCAGCCATTGCCTCATCCAAACGGGTTTCAACGCGACAGGCCAAGATGTTGCATTGCATGATTTTAGACGCCATTGCCTGTTTGGTAGGAGCTAACGACATCGGAATTGGAGGTCCAGAACTGCCAAGACGGTGGCATGGTCATTTCTCTTCATTTTACTCCAACGGGAGGACAGGCTAGGGCCAGCTCGCACTAGCGATAGCGTTGTTTAGACCCTTTCAGGCGTATCATCCGGTCTTGCAGCCTGGTTAGTATCCTCCAGTAAGGCGTGGCGACATGGGTTTAGTGAAATGCCGATCGCTGTTTTCTCCCCTTCCTTCATTTTGCCGCAATCTTGTCTCAGCCTGGATAGAGCCGAAGGATCGAGTGGAGTATGGACAAATTCCGACGATTATTCAACGGACGATTATTCAACCAGTACTTCGTATATGAAGTGAATCGAGGTGATGTTCTTCTCGGAGAAATTCCCTTTGCGCCCATACCAACGCACAATGTCGATCGGAACTGAAACCACAGAAAGCAGCGCTGACCTAGTCATCGTCGGGGGTGTGTAGAGTTCAGAAAAATGTCAACGTGTACTGACGGTAGTAGGAGGCCCTACGGGACTGGCAATTGCGGTCCTTGCTCGTTCATTAGGACTCTCAATTCGAATCCTTGGTGGGTAAACCTCGGAGAAAAAGCCAACAATTCCTAACGCGACTGCAGATGCTAAAGAAGGTCCCCTGGATCTGGGTCGCGCTGATGCGCTGAATGCGCGCACCCAGCAATACCTTGAGGTCTCCAAGACACTAGACACGCTCCTACCACAAGGAATCACTTGCAACAGTACGTGAACGTGACCTTTGTTTCTCAAGACACATCTAGTTAACAGCTGCGCGATTAGCAAGCTCCACGTTTGAGGCCGGTGAATTCACCTCCCGCCAAAGCCATTGGTGGACGTCACTGAAACACACCTTCCGGCCCAACTTTCTCATGATCGGTCAACCGCGCGTGGAGGCCGCTCTTCTCGAACAACTCGATACCCCCGTTGATTACGGTCGCACCGTATTATCCGTCACCGAGTCCGCGACAGGTGTTTCAGTCACCACGAATAAAGGAGAAACTTTCCGAGGGAAATATGTCGTTGCAGCAGATGGAGCACGGTCGTTTGTGCGAACCGCACTAGACATTCCGTTCACGGGCACAAAACCCGAGATGATCTGGGCGGTTCTCGATACGTTTATTGAGACCGACTTCCCTGTTTGTCCGGAGATCATCACTTTCCAGGTCAACGGGCAGTCGAGAGTGGCATGGATCCCTCGGTATGTAATCCATGATCTGATGGCAATATACTTGCACTGATGATGACCACCAGAGAGCGCGGCATGTCCCGTTTCTACATCCTTTTACAAGGAGAAGTCACCCAAGCCAAGGCCGAAGCATCTGTCCGTGCACACATGGCGCCTCACAATGTCGAATTCCTCAAGACGGAATGGTTCAGCACATTTGACAGTACGTGGCATTCGCGTCGTACGTGGTAATTGCTAATTCTTTGTCCAGTCAAGGAACGTATCGCCGAGACCTTTATCTCCCAATCCGGCAACGGTCGCATTATTCTGGCAGGCGACGCAGCACACGTGCATGCGGTGAACGGCGGGCAAGGCCTCAATACCGGTATTGCAGACGCGTTCGCCTTGACTTGGCGGCTTGGACTAGCCGTCAAGGGCCTTTCAAGTCACGAGGTTCTCCGCAGTTATGATACCGAGCGGCGTGCCGTCGCGGCTGGGGTCATCGAGGTAGCTTCGAAGCTAGTGCGGACGACTGTGAAGACGGCGTTGGAATACGTGGATGCGATCGAAAGAAACGCAGGATATATCACTGGTAAGTCAATTATTCTGGAATACCAATCATGAAGCTAATAAAACAGGCATGGGTGTGTTCTATCCTCCGGGAATTTTGGTTCGCGAGTCAGAATTCGGAGAATTCATCGCTGGTCATCGCTGTCCGGATTTGACTATCAATGCACTCTCAGACTCTCAAGATATCAGTGCAGGAGAAGAAAGGAGACTCTACACTCTCTTCCAGTATGGGAAATTCGTTGTTTTATTCCTTGGAGACGAGGCTGGATCGGCATCGTCAGCGGTGGTGAAAAAGTATCAAGAAGTCGCGGATTTCTGGAATGTTCGCGCAGACAATCAGCGCAGTGATAGTGGCATCCCTGAGTATCAAGCAAACTGGGTTGAGAACCAGTCTGGGGTTGTGGTGATTCGCCCTGACTTATACACGGGATATGCGGGAGAGAAGTGGGCGGATTATCTCGACGCGTTGTTGACGGCGGGAACCTCGTGATCACAGACATGTGACTCTATACTAGCCATAATACCACTTCACTCAACCAGAAAAATAAAGTGCATGCATAATAATGCTGACATTTTCCAAGCCAAGAGATTGTAGGACAATATCAGTTCTCTTAGCGATATTGTTCTCTTGGTAATATGTGTCAACTCATGCTCCGAGAATCACAATTATATATCTGGACAAGCCATCAATTACGTTTAGCATGAACCCTTCTAACCAAATAATAATTTTATCTTGGTCTTTTTTTTTCTTTTTTATTTGTTTGTCAAAGCTTAATAAATCCCAGTACCATAAGTGAGGTGATAAAACATAAAGGTATCATAGGGCAGCAAATGATATGATTCCAAAAGCAAAAATAACTGAGAGTCTAGAGTATTTTTGGTATTTTAATGAGGATGTCATTTTCACTGGGCTTAATCCCCATAAGGTTGAGTCATGAAATTAATGGATACCAAAGGGTCATGTCATCGAAACTCACCCTGGGATGATTTTTAGCCAGGTCCAGTATCAACAATCGTCCCATGTAAGATCCAATCACGATTTGAGAACATTTTGTCGCACTGTCGAAGGGAAGATAGATGGTCGGAAGGCATAATATCCTTTTTCCGAGATACTTGATCCAGTGGTTTCTCACCTCTATCATCCGATCAATGTGACCCTCTTCTTCTGCTGTTCTTGAGAGCCTTGCTGTATTGTTGTAAAACAATGGAATACCATAGGCACTCAAGTCGCGATTCAAAGTCTCCGCACTAGAATGAAAAGCGTGTATTGAGAGCCCAGAAGCGCAATCCTAAATTCTAATATAGTCGTCGGCCTCTAGTATCGTGAGGTACTTGCCGTTGGATGAAAATTCCATAGTTGACCTTGCATTTATGTTTCTGATGGTATGAAGCAGGGATCCTGTTTGCATAGAACACAATCGAATCTGACCGTCTGACCACGCTGATACAACGATTTGAGAATCGGGTGATAAAACCAGGTATTCTATGTCAGCGATGGGACGGGAAGCGGTCGGATGAAAGTGTGTTGAATCGGCGTTCCAGATTCTGAGTGTATTGTCTTCGGAAGCGGAAACCACTTGCTGGCCATCGGAAGAAAGCTGGATACCGTGAATGTGATCATTATGGCCTGAAATGGTTTGCAAGATGTCATCATTTTCCATATCCCGAAGTCTAATGGTCTCAAAAGCTGTCATTGCTGCCCTTCGCCGATCCGACAGAATACCGATAGAAAGGATGCTACCAGTGTTGCCTTCGTAGGAACACTGAAGAGAACCGGTGACGATGTTCCACACCTCGACCACCCCTTCGTCACGAGTTATAGATGCAATTTCTGTATCCTTGGACAAAAACGCGATTGAAGATGGACAGTCGTTGGGGATGAATGCCCTTTGGAACGATCCTGTCATAATGTCACCTAATACGATGGTCCCACCCGCATCAACCGAAGCTACCCATCTTCCATTAGGTGACAGCGTCGTAGGGCCAATTAGACCGGGATGGAGTTGATATGTGTTCTTGAGTGTTTGCTGGGTTATATCCCAGATCTGTACCATCCTGCCGGCGGACAGGAATATGATAAAATGACTGTTCATCTAGAATATCACTGAGATACTGTGAGCATACGCGTTAAGAACCATTTGTGGAGCACCGGTGTTCAAGTTTCAGAGGCGAACAGTGCAGTCCAAGGAGGCGGAACCTATCCAGCGACTGTCAGGTGATGCTGCCCGCACGCTGCCGAGAGAATTTGCAGAAGGAAGCATGTTCAGGATTCCACATGAGAACTTGCAAAGCAGCTCTCCATTGTGGGCCTCTTTCTTCACAACCGGGGAAGTGCGCTTTTGTCTATGGGGAAATACCACACAGCAGGTTAGCAGATGTCACCAGGCATGAAGGGCTCGTGGAGCTCAGGTATAGCAGGGTCTCACTCGAGTTTCTGCGTCGATTATAAGAAACGCGTCAAAGAGCCGAACGAAGAGCCAAACTGAGTTCGATTCATCTCGGCTCTCTTTCTGAGTTTGACTGTTGATTTGGTAATGTCCCATGTGAGCTTGGCCTTGCCCGAATACGCGATGATTTGAGAAGAAAAGGTGGTTTGTAGATCATGCCTCTCAATTAGAGGCTCGGACAACACACAATGTCCGGCGTAGATGCTGGTATAGGCTGATGTTTTGGGGCTCGGGAAATAATTTGTTTTGCTTGCGAGCGTCGTAAAAAAAATTGGATCAATCATACTCCTGGCCTTGGCTCCATTGCTAGACGAGTCATCTAGAGCCAGGGCGTAATCGTCAAAAATCATGCTGCGATGATCGGGAAGTGGGCGTCTATCTTGGGGACTCAGGACCCAGTCCCCTGCATTGGGGTCGCTGCTAGTCAATAAGAAAAACAATATACTAGTTCGTTTGTCAATCTGTTATCGAGTTTAAGATTCAGGTGTCCAGAACCCTCAACCAGGCCAGCCTGGGCGTGACATCGGTATAACCCGTTGCTAATTCACACAGAGTGCAAACTAGCCACCCATATTTTGGAATCCGCAGGGAGTGATCTGAAAGCCCCGCACAGTGCCCTGTTCTATGAGACGACGTTGCCGCTGGACTTCTGAAACTGGAACGCCCATACACCCTAAACACAAATCTATATTAGCTTTGACTCAATGGTCATAAGAGTGATTGTGGGAAGACCAAGAGCCATTCCACTACCGTTATAATCAGTGTCGAATAGACTGCAAACCATTTTGCTTCGCTTGTTTTGCCTCTATTAGACAGATACAGCTCGCGTTATTCTCTTCATCTTTACTACACCATATAACATAGTCAGCCACGCCACTAATGGTAATTGTGGGATTATTGCGCGGCGTATCGACTTTCAGTTTCTTTTCCACTTGGGTCTGAACGTGGTCGTATCCCTTGACTCCCCAAGCTGCTTAGGTATTTCAGACAGTTTTGCGACTATAGGATACTAACATAGAAACGAATGGTGAGCAATCGGGTCAAGGATTCCAGAAGTCGAGTGGGATATATAAAGGACAGAATGGGCTTTGAGCAAGGTCGGAGTTTCGAGCAATAGCAAATCGTGGGCCTGGGTATTGCAAATGTTTCAAAAGCCCTGGAAACAAGCAATCTCATACTTATCGGCAGACCCTGCATGATCCTTGCTGTCCTGTGCCAATCGACAGGAGGCAGCGAGAAATCCACTTAGCCACCCAAGCGTTCCAATCGCCAAACTTTGACAGCGAGACTCGATGCTAGGTCTATCCGATGCAAACATTTCGAAGTTCATGAAAACACGCAATGGAGCACAGCAATAGGCGCGCCATGTTCTCGATCTTGTGCCCTTTCTTGAGAGTACGCAGCGAGAATCCACTTGGCTACCCAGAGTTGGACCAGCTCCTCAAGCTACTAGAGTTTGTCGAATCCTCACTCCAATAAGGGTGTCGAAGCAAGAACTCCGTCATGTCAGGTTCCATGACAGGAGGGTCGATAAGCGGCTATTCGTCATGCCAGCGGCCGTTTAAGTGATTATCTTTTGTGGAGAGGTGAGGAGATGCCTGAATAATTCTGATTGTGCCCGTAGAGAATGGTATGAGAATGTGTAGAATGGGTATGATCCCTGGGGCCTTGGGTGAATTGATGAGAAGGAGAAGATAGATCAGGAGGAATGTAAGGAAGAAAAGTAGGGACGAAAACGAGTCGTTTGGAGTGAATCGTTAGATACGATGAATGATTCCCTGGTTTGTGAATATGAGATCTACGATTCCCTCGTGGAGCTTCACCATCCTAGATGCGTCGAAGCAAAGAAATCCACCGGGAGAGAAAATTGGTTAATAGAAAGCAGAATGAAAAGAGAGAAATTTGTCGGTTATGGTACGCTTTTATCGCTGGAAAATTAGCAAAAATATACCATCCATCTATTCATTACCACCAAACTATTATCAAGAATGAAGCATCTCCACAGCCTGCTGCATCTCCTCCTCCGATGGCAGGTTCACGATCATCAAATACATAACATTCTAGAAAGCATTAGCCGCCCAGCATCCCCAGCATCGAATAGTATTTGGATGCAAACTTACCGATTTCAACATCTTCTTCATTCCCCCGCCCAGTAGCCCTCCGCGCGGATTTCGAGATCCAAATCTAAATCCGCCAGGGCTTTGCCTATGTTCACCATCTTCCGGATGTGGCTGCTCAGGTCCACCTGTACTCCGAGACCTCGAGGCCTGCACTCCACTGATGATCTGGCGAATCGGACCCCGACCAATTAGTCCACCGCCGAGTCCACCTCCAAGTCCGCGTCCACGACCAGGTCCGGACTCGTCCCGTCCTCGTCCGCGCATCGGTTTGATCTGGTCACTGGTAATATGGCCACCGGTGACAAGGCCCATGAGTGACCCGCTGCTAGCGGGATGTGAATTGTGGTTTGGGTGCTTTGTTGAGATCACTGCTTGGGTTTTCCATTATCTGGTTCATCATTAGCTGTCTCGAAATCGTACAGAAGGAAGTGAGGATAAAAACGTACAAATTCAGCCTGGCCCCTCCGATCCAAGTAATCAGCCACAAAGGCTCGTCGCGAATTGACCTCCTTCAACTTTTTTTCCGCATCGGGGCTCTGTGCTGCCAACTCATGAAGATCCGGGAACATGAGCGGCGCCGTCTCGGAGAACGGCAGGTTCCCGTACGTCTTTCCGTCAGATGACTTATACTTGTGTTTCATCTTGCTCACCCATCCAGATCCTGCGTGGGCCATGGAGCTCGAGATGGCCGAGTTCAAATCAAAGCTAACACAGGGGGAATCAGATTCTGGTTTCCAGGTCATGACGAGACAGTGCAGGCCACGAGGATGAAACATCTCCTGGTTGATTTTATCGAAGTAGGTATTCGTTCTGCTTGCATTAGCATGATCTTACAAAGGCTATGGAAAAGCCACGAACTTTCTTCGGTTTTCGGCGGCAATGGCAACGTCTGTTCCGATCTGAATCATGACAGATACAGCCATTTCTATAGCCAACGGCATGAACATCGTGCCGATAGACGCCAAGTTGATCGCCGCGCCACCCCGCAGCCTCGCAGGCTTTATTCGACGTCTCCAGGAAGTCGATGAACATGGCCTGGTCGATGCCAAAATTATCCAGAACCGGCGCGTATGCCCGGATGAAGCCACGCTTACGCGACCGAGGTTGCCGTTGTGGCAGAATCACCGGGTACGGGAGTTTCGGGTGTCCAGTGGGAACCGAGTATGCCGCAGGATGGGTTTCCAGAAAGGCGTGGGCTAGCTGATCGACATCTTGGATGGGTGTATACTCGGGCGGAGAGTCGCGATGAAGTTGGTCTTGAGCCTCGTCAAGCTCCCATTCTGCTTCATGTTGCTCTTCCATGATTTGTTCATGTTCACGTGCATATTCATGGTCATATTCATGTTCGTATTGAGGGGCAGTAGGGGGCGTAGTGGATGATTCAGGAGCCTGTTCTTCTGTAGGGGAAGCGTTTTGGGACTTCTTGTTCGTCTTGTAGGCGGCGATACTCTCGGAGGCCAGACCGACCCCGGAGGCGACTCCTTTGATAATTTTCTTTCGAAGAAACATACTGTACTCCAGAACGGCAAAATAAATGTGGTGGTACGGAGAAGCAGCGTCGCAGGGATCCGATCAGACTCTCTAAATGTCCCTGAAGAAACGATGCGACCGACGACCTGCCCGACCGGCAAAGATGGGGGCGAGCCGTCATGATTGGCAGTCGTGGGTTTTGATTTTCAGCTAAGCTCATGAAGGCCGTCTAAATTCTCTTGTTTGGCAATTCAACGGATGCGAGGACCCAACTTCTTCCATCTGTTCACCCTAGAACCCGTATTTGAAGAAGGTGGAGCGAAGCGGCGCAGTAGGGGCTAAATACAAAGCAATGGCAGTTTGACACGGCGTCAGCGCCGCATTCCAGCGGTCGCACGGCCCGTAAACCACGGCCTTTTTCTTTCAACGCAAGCCCCGTGGGCATGGCCAGGTGGGTCGTTCCAGTGCAAGGCTGAGAGTAAGCATTTGCTTGGTTGCTTGGCGCTTTTTATAACCCATCGCGGGTTAGCGCTGAGGGCGGGCACCGTTTACCCGAGCTGGTAGGCCTTGCAGTCGGCATCGGAGTTGTCGGCTGCCCGATTCTAGGCTTCTAGAATTTGCGTTTGAATCTGTGCTGTTGTCTGGTCTTGTCAGATCGTTCGGTTGTGCGAGATGGAGTTGCGGGATTGTTGCGAGTTGAAGTTGTGCACTCGTCGAGATGAAGAGGCGGGCCAGGTGCCTGAGGCCTTGGTGCCAAGCTTTCGCCCTTGGCTTCCCCTCCTTTGGCCATTTCTTCTGTGCAACACCACGAAAGCCTTCTTTCTTCCTGTACATCTCCTCGAATCCCAAGTCTCCTTCGATTCGGTCATTCATCCGAACGTTTTCATCCCTTCTGATCACTTAGTTCTCAAGTGCGGCAACGTCGAGAATCGGGCACCTCCGGAATATATATTTACGCTTCGTTGTCATAGATCTTTCCTTGAACTTGAATGACCTACCGGACATGACAACAAACATTTGTCTGTTTACCTTCGTTAGTGACAGGGTCTCTTCCCCGATTACCACTTTCATCCAGCTCAATTCGTTAAATTCATCTATTTTCGTCACCAATGACCATTGCTATGACCAACGCGCCTACAAGAATACGAGAAGACCATAACATCATGAGAAAGAAAAAAATATTTATATTCATCAAACATTCAGCGTCTAAATCATTTACCCATCCAATATGCCAGCATAAGAGAAACGGGCAACATTATCAAAAATCTCCATTACATCCTCTAGAAGGCAGCCTTATCCTTGACCTTCTCCGCCTGCAATTCCGAGAAGCTTTCCGGCCACAGCATCATCTTTTCCTCCTTCGGGGTAGCGGCAATGAACTGAGGAACCTGAATTTGGTCAGCATCTGAACAGTACAAACATCGAGTGAACACAGAAAACATACAGCTTGCTTGCTGGAAATGCGACGCCACATGTTGGCCCGCGGGTTGAATCGAGCGGGCACGCCCTGGCCGCCGGTCTTCTCCTCGTCCTCCTTCATGATCTTTTGCACCTCACGCTTGATCTCAGAGAAGTCCTCGAACGGAATATACGGAATCTGGTTTTCTTTGCAGTATTCTTCCAACCGCAGACCCTTGCGCGCGAATAGCACGTCAGCCTCCCGCGCAGCGGGCAGATCCGAAACACCATCGCCGATGAAGATAATCAGGGGGATCTCGTTGTCGAGAGAATATTTTTCGGCCAGAGCGCGGCCCTCCTGGATAGACCGAGCCTTGTCGTGTCCGAGCGGAGTGTCATGACGCCAGATCGGCTTCCACTGGCCACCCTCCTCGCGGATGTCAGCGTCGTTGGCGACAATTTCGATTTGCGAGGCCTATCCATGTTAGTGTCCCTACTGGTTTCTGATGAATGAATTGCCTACCTCTTCGGGGCCGAGGAACTGTTTCAAGACTTGAGCCAGAACAGGCTTTAGACCAGCACTTATGATATTAAAGTCGATTTTGTTGGCGACACAGAACTGGTGAAACTCCTTGAAGCCAGGATCCAAATCCAGTCGCTGCTGCATGACCTCGAAACCGTCCGAGAATGGAATTTCCAGCGATCCCCACATATCCTCGGAGACTTCGACGAACGACCGAGCACCCGTCTTGATCTCCTCCTCGAACTTCCGGCGACCTTCCGCGCCACATCCTAGTGCATCGACCAGGACATGGCCACTATCTTGCATGAAGATAGTGCCATCAAAGTCTGATCAAGTTAGATTGGCCGTGATGTGTCGCATATAGACAAGGGGAACAAGGCAAGGCATACCTGAGAAGCAGACAATCTTTCTAGTGGTAGGCATGACGGATGGCTTCTTAACATGAGCCATGGTGGATGTGAAGTTGGCAGAGAACTAGGGCGAGAAATGAGTTGGCCAAGGAGACAGAAGTCATCGTGAACCGAGCGAGACAAAACGCTTAAGAGTGTTCTGGCAAACCGTGGCAAACCGGTTGCGATTCGACTTTTTTTTCCCACGGTGCATGACGTAGGCCATCTCTAAAGCCCACGGACGTCAATTGTGGGTTCCAGTTCTAGACTTGGCATGGAAACCTATGATGTAGCGGGCGAGAACCGTTGATGACTGAGGATTGTGGAGCGGACAAGTCGGCATTGGCAAACAATAAACGCGAACGACCGGGGAAGAAGGCGATGCCGCCGGGACCGGCAAGCCGGACAGCCACACGTGGCGCGGGCTGTGGCCGTGCAGGAAGGCCGACTTGACGTCATTTCTGCCATGAACTCGCCTCAGTTTCCCTTTGTCCGCACGGAATTTCTTCTATTGTTTCCGCCTTTTCCCGGTTTGTGGCACCTGTGGGCTCTTCTTTCCTATTCGGTTCTGCGCCCCTGCTCGGCTATCTTTCTGTGGCGCTTGGCGCTCATCATTCTCCCCTGCAGCCCAGACTTGGTTTCTGCAGGGCCTGGATTGCGTCCAGGAGAATCTAGAGGGACACGCTAACCTGGCGCTTGGTCCACTGATTGGGGGGAACTGACCGCGGAGCCGGCACTGCAGGCCTCAGGTTGACCTGGTCATATTATCCAGGCACCCCTACATATGTTCCTTGGTCGGATTGATAAATACCTGACTTGCCCACTTGTCGACTTGTCCAATGGTGAGGTCATTTTGGACATGCTCGAAAGCTCATCAGCAACATGATACTGAACATCGCCCTCGTCCCCTTCCAGGGCAAAAAGTTTCTCAAGACGAAAGGGAGGCCAGGCAGAATTGAAGCATTCGATTGAATCACACTAAAACAGAAGAGCACAACAGAAATCAAACCGTCAACTGCAACCAGTCGATTTGACCACAACATGTATTGACATACATGGACAGAATTAACAGACTGGGAATGGCTTCGACGACTCACTAACCCCATCATCGTAGATAACCTGGTCACCCGGCTCCGCAAAGACCGTGTGTTTATTCTCAACCGTCTTGCATCCATTGCCCACATTAGCCACAAACATCTCCGGATACTTCTCCTCGAACGAAGCAGTACTGCCACTACCGCCGGTGATCTCGATATCAGCACAGTTCATATACATCTCGCGGTTGCCGACCAGGTTGAACCAAGACCAAGCGAACAGGGCTTTGCCGTCAGCCACGTCGCCGGGGAGCTGGAAGTCATATTCGGTAGTCAACGGACATCCGCCCATCATGGACTCGATCACTTTGAACGTTTCACCATTGTCATAGCTCAACGAGAGCTGGCATGATCCTCCGCTGTGGGTTGCGGAGCCGGACAACGAGATGTTGTATGTTTCGCCAGCGGCCCAGTTCGCGGTGGTGCGCCAGGGAGTGTTCTTGTGGTATCCCTTGCATGGGAAGTTGGATCCTATGGTATGTGAGTTTAGGTGAAGGCCATGGGGGTTAAAGTGTTGATTGATTTACCGCTGCTTTCCAGAGGACTGGTCATCGAATAATCAATGCTTGAGGGATCAGTCTCGGGATCCAAGGCGCTGCGCAAAGGATAAGGCCAGCTGAGCTGCATGTGAGCCGCGACGAGGCCGGAAGAGAGAAGAAGACCGAAGACTGAGTTGAACATTTTGCGTTTTTGCGAGAACTTGTTGGTTGGATTTCCAGTTCGTTGAGGGGTCTGGCTTTTCGATTTCAGTGCACTTCAGCACGCCTTTATACCTTTCAGCTCGCCCATCTCTTGACTACAATGTCTCCTCAGAATCATAGTCTCGAGTTGCATTTGCCCCCAAGTTGCATAGCTCAGTGTCATTCATCCTGAGGAGAACCCTGTAACAAGGGCACAGTGAACTACTACACTCGAGATATATCGTGAAGCGACTTGACACGGGTATCTCGTACGTTTCCTCAGGGCTCATTGCATGCAACCTACTAATCTCCGCACTGGTCTTGGCCACATGTCTGTCCATTCAAGTCCCCAGACTTATCTTTGGCGCCGGGTACCCCAGTCAGATCCTTGTGTGCATGTAGATCGCAATTCCTCGATTTGACGAATCTGGAATGTGATCCATTCTGTGGGATCCTCGTACGTACGAAGGAGCACCGACGGAGTACCTGATTATCTCAGGCGCATTGACGCCGAGTCGATATCCCCTGGGTTGCAGTCACAATGAAGATCGAATAGAAGGATTGAATGTACCGGTGATAAACCTGCATAATGGCATTCCACGGGTCGCTTATCTAGGACCTGCAGTTGCCCATCCAATGGCATGGATTTCCCATTCCTCACGGATAGACTATCGAGGCCACGGGGTTGGAACTTTTACGAGCAAATCAGAGCAGTCCTCACCAGCATCACCAATTAATCAGTTTCCAACGGATTGTTTAAGCGACAGACGCTAATTACCGTCGCATCGCGTGAGGAGAGGCCGCTTGGCAGTGGTGATTAATTTCCTAGAGCGAGCTAAAACGCCTAGCGGGTCGGATTCTACTACGGTCTGATCCTACAGTTACAGCTTATCCAGCGAGCTCTTGTTGCAGAGCGGTTATTCAGGGGCATGGAGTTCATCCCTTGCGATCTGATTCTAGGAGGCACAATGGCACTCTGAGGTTGTTGTTGGCCTGGAGCGAACTTCTTATCAGCGGGTCAGTCATTGGTTGTGGGGTGGATTCCCCACAAATCTCCGGATGCCGAGCGCTACTGCGATTAGATTCCTCAGGTTTTTCAGGATGCCGAGGTTACAAGGACAATGAGATTGTGCATTTGAAGCTGTGAGAATTTGCATTATGGTCCTCGACGATATTCTGTCGAACGGTATAAAGGGGATTCCGGGCTAATCCCGAGAAGGCAATTCCGAAAACAGGTCCAGTGCTCATTGGACCCTACTAGTCAACGATGTCATAGACACGAAATATCTATCCGACCCCACTGGAGCTCTCATCCAGCCTATGAGACAAAGAACAGTTCGTAAGGAGCCAGGATTCGATCCGACAAAGGGACCTCTTCGAATTTCTATCTCGTCTATATCCCCCACGCATTGTCACCGTCTCGCAACAAAACCACAAGTACAAGGCAACACCCAAAATGACCACAACAAACACCACACCCCTCCACATCGCAATGGCCTGCGACGAGGCCGGCTGGGATTACAAAGAAGCCATCAAAAAAATCCTCAAAGATAACCCCCTTGTGTCCGAAATCACCGACGTGGGCGTGGACAGTTCCGCCGACAAAACCGCCTACCCACACCCCGCCGTGCAAGCATCCCTATTAGTCCGAAACGGCCAAGCCGACCGGGCGCTTCTGATCTGCGGCACCGGAATGGGCGTCTCGATCTCCGCGAACAAAGTCCCAGGGATTCGAGCCGTGACGGCGCACGACTCATTCAGCGTCGAGAGGGCCGTTTTAAGCAATAATGCGCAGGTGCTGTGCTTCGGACAGAGGGTTATTGGCGTGGAGTTGGCGAAGAAGCTGGCGACCGAGTGGTTGACGTATACGTTTGACGAGGGGAGTGGGAGCGCGAAAAAGATCGAGGCGATTAGTGAGTATGAGAGGAGGTTTGCGCGGGGGATACAAGGATTGAGCGAGGAGATTGTGATTGATTAGCTGACTGATTGGCTGTCATTTGGGCGTTTTTGAATTGGATATAATCGGTCTCAAGTTGTGTGAATCCGTTGCGAAATTGGGTATAGGTAATGTATGATTTTTGTATGTATGGCCTCTATTTCTGTTCTGCCCGCTCCGGATCACCTGTTAAGATATCTGTCGCAAGTGATCATAATCAGGCGCCTAGGAACAATTCATTGTGGGCTCTATGAGAGACTCTAATTTTGGCTCTCTGCTTCTAACATATCTTCCAATCAGGTGAGAAATATCTCGTAACTTGTATGAAAAGACATTTGATATCTATTTTAGCTCCGTGGCTAGCTCTGATGACTCAAGACATTAGAACCGAAATAGCATCAAGCAGCCATGCAAGATAGAATTCGTGATTGTATGATCTTCAGGGACCAGGCCTAGAACTAACCACGTCAATTTATCCGGGCTGCTACACGACATAAGGCGACTCTTCTCCAAAGCTGCGGTAAATGGTTGTTTACCGGATTCTAAGATGGATGACATATAATGAGAAAAGAATGTACAGAACTATCCTAAAAGGCTCGTCAACCCGGCCTCCCACAGTACCGCATTTTTCAGACCTTTGCACGATTTCCCCTGTCCGCAATGGCAAGATTGAAAGATCCAAGAATTCCCTCCCCGCAGACAACCCCGCATTCCCCGCGCTCGGCACATCCCGACAGTCCGGCGGAGGCACCGCATTCCCGCTGCTCTGCCATGAAATGAGATCGTACGATCCTTCTGTGACGTGGTGGCTGTCGATCATCGGGAAAAAGACGCCCAAATAGATGGAGTCGCGGATAAATACACCCCACCGGAGAAGAAAAGCCATCAATCAGCCGGTGGGGTTCCCTCTGGTTAGAGTTCAAATGGCTTGATGCGTCCGACTGATTGCACAGGCTTTTTTCTACCCTTTCCTGTAATCATCACGGTACTAACTATAGCAGGATAGCGAGTTGTACTGGTGTCAAAATGAGACACCTTCAGTCCCTTCTTCTCCTGTCCAATTGGGCATTGGCATCTTCAGTCTCTATTAAAGTCCCATTGAATGCCTCCCGCAGAATCCTCCGACCAGACCTCTATGGCTACTCAATTGAACCCGTCTCCCTAGACCCCTATCTGAAAAGCACCCTTGCCTCGACCGTGCTCGGCCACATTGCCGAGATAGCCGGCGTACCGGCCCCCATTCGCGTAGGAGGGAACATCGCCGACCAGACCGTCTTCGACAAGACCCTCCCGGTCCCCTCGCAAGCCCTCCCGAACGACACAGTCGTCGAAGTCCTCAAAGTTCAAGAGTCCTGGTACAACGGGTGGACTGACTACTTCCCCACCGGAACCGACTTCATCTACACGCTGAACCTGCGCAATGAATCCTCCTCCTGGACTAACGCCATGCAGCAAGCGGAAGCCGCGATCCGCCATCTCGGACCGCAACTCTCGCTCCTAGAACTCGGCAACGAAATAGACCACTACATCAGCAAAGGCTGGCGCACTCAGGCGTGGAACACAAGCACGTACACCGCGCAATGGAAGCGCCTAACCCACCAACTGACCACGGCCCCATTCTACCGCAACACCACCCACAAACCCCGCTTCCAAGCCGCCGTCTTCGCCGACCCCCCCTGGGTCCCCGACCAACACGACGAGATCGACGACTTCGACATCGCTAACGTCACCCGCGCGGGCCTGATCAACCCCCATCTAATCGAATCCTACGCCATGCACCTCTACCCACAATCAACCTGCGACGCGCCCCGAGAAGCCCGCCTATCCCTAAACCTTCTCTCGAACCACAATGTCATCTGGACAAACATCTCGCAATACATCCCACAAGTCGCAGCCGCAGAACGCGCACACGCACGTCTCACTCTCGGCGAAACAAACTCCGCCTCATGTAGCGGCCGCAGCGGAATCAGCGATACGTTCGGCGCGGCGCTCTGGGCGACAGATTACGTTCTCGCGGCGGCGAGCATCGGTATGGATCAGGTGTATTTTCATCTCGGTCATACAAGCGAGTATTCGGCTTTTACGCCGCTGGCTTATGATTATAAGGGAGAAAGCTTGGTAGCGGGCGTGAGAGCGCATTTTATGTCGCATGTGTTTTTGGCGCATGTGGTTGGTGACGGACAGTCGAATCAGCAGGACAAGCAGAGTAGAAAGGAGAAGAAAGAAGGACAGGGCAAGACGATATCCGCACTGCCCGGCGCAGCTAATTCCTCTGATTTAGCCGGGTACGCGGTATATGGGGGCCGTGCTGATCTGGAGAAACTTGTCTTTGTGGATTTGGGGGTATGGAATTCGTCCGAGGGGGTGACGAATCCGTCGACGTTGAGGGCGACAGATTCGAATTCTACGTCGGTGGGAGAGAGACCGACGAGGACGGTCGAGGTGAAGACGGGATGGACTTCCGGTGCGAAGGTCGATGTGCTGCGGCTGCAGGGGCCGGGGACGAATGCGAAGAGTGGTGTGACTGTGTCTGGTTTGGAGGTGGATGTTCTGACGGGAGCGCTGGTGGGCGAGAAGAGGGAAGAGCAGCTGGTTGTCGGGCGTGGTGGCGTGATGGAGTTTGAGCTACAGCAGGCAGAGGCGATTTTGCTGGAAATCTTGAAGGGAGGGGGATAGAAAAATATGAAGCTGGTGGTGAGCTATAGTTATGGGTTAGCAACTCAGCCCTACCTGAAGGGCTGAACTCGCACCTAGTGCCGGTCCCGAAGAGTCTATCCTTTACCAGTCACCGTAGAGTATTTATTTCTAGTCAATCTATCCTGATAAAAATCAAAGCATCAGTTTCCAAAACTGTGATGAATTGAGGATCATCAACAAAGAAGACCGTGATGTCATCCCCTCCCTACCAATAAGCCACCACAAGCACACAATCCCGGCCAAACTGAGCCCATCTAGACGAAGTGGGGAGCTATGATAAACAACCCGAGCCCCGCATCAAAACATCCAATATCCCAGACTCAGCTTCAATTCATACTTCCATATAATTATCTACTTATTCTACCCAACTCCATCATATCCGTAGTCCAAGACCTCGAATCCGCCAACGCGACATACGCAGCCTCATTCACAAAAGGCGATCTTCAGCTTCCACCGAAGCGGTATATTCCACTTCTTCAAATATACATGTTGGCGGTGCCTCGCATGTTTGACCTTCCGAATGTAGTTTAGTGCACCACATGACCAGCGATCGTAGATAGTTAGCTAGTCTGCAGCCTCGCTGCATAGAATTGATCAAGTATTCCACCAATTTCATCGTCAGCCATGCTGTCAATACATGGAATAGAAGCTGACTTACCTATAGAAAAGTGGCAATCGTGACATGTATGGACGCAAGACTCGGTACTCAGCTATTATCCAACCCCACTACTCTACAGAATACTAAAGCAAAACTAGACCCTGCTAAAGTACTCTCCCTCGAAGGTGACGCCCACGTCATCCGTAACGCAGGAGGTCGCGCATCAGATGCTCTGCGCAGCGTCATTATTTCTCAGCAACTACTCGGAACGAGGGAGATAATAGTAATACATCATGTAGCCTCCCTAATCTTCTCCACTGCCACTTCTTTGATTGAGTGAGGCTATGACTAACATGATGGGGAATATACTGTAAGATCTGGACGCAACTGAACCAGGATGTATATCATATTTCGTTCCTGCCGTTTCATGATCTCAGACAAAGCGTGCTTGACGATGTGAGGGTTTTAAAAGAGAGTCCGTTGGTATTAGATGCTACTATCACAGGGTTCGTGTATGAGGTTGAAAGTGGGAAAGTTGTGAGTGTTTGAAGATGAGGTTTATACTAGTTAGTGGGTTGTTAGTTTTCTTGATTTTTCTGCATGTTTTTAACTACTTCTGTTGGGGGTTTCTTTCTTTCGTCTTTTATTGAGAAAGCAGTACTACTTCAATCAGTTACTCAATATGCCTATGATGGATGGAAGATGTTGTTATGAACTAAACTCAATGCACATGACAAACAGAACCCTAACGAGTTCGGTTTTACTGTCATCGGCATATGTTCTATCGACTTCTAGTGTATCGCCGATCGGTGTTAGGAAGACAGTAACAAGAGAATATATTCCTATCGAGAATAGGACACCCAATCCTAGCCCCATTCAAGAGAAAGAGCCGGTCAATCAAATCGGATACACAAACAACCGATTCTCGAAATCCGTCAAATCCAACATCGCCAGATCCACCTTCCTCCTCACCACCTGGCCACTCTCATCCACCTGTTCCACGCACCCCTCCTTCTCGTCCTCGCTCAATTCCGCCGCCCACTGCGCCCTTTGTTTATTCCTCTTCATCAAGATCCAATGCACGACGCCCAGAATGGCCGGCGTGCCAAACCAACTGACAACAATCATACTCACCCACGCCCCATAATATCTCGGCGCGGCACTCGGGACCCAAATCTGCGGCGACACCAAATTCCCCACACTATAACCGACCATGAACATTCCATTCCGCGTCAACTTCTTTGTATACCCAGCCGCTGAAGACGTCGCCCACCCCAGGGCAATAATATACGTAATGCTGTAGGTATTCTGCGCTAGGAGCATACACGCCAAGAGTGCGAGTTTCTCAGACCACGCAGTAGCAACCATCCCGATACCACCTGCCATCGCTAGAATACACCAAACAGCACTATGCAGCGCTAGGTATTTCGGGAAATACTTCAACGCGAGCGTGGCAACGATACACAACGCAGTCCCGAACCCTCCTCCGGCGGCGGCCACAAGCGTCGAACCCAAATCTGACACGCCGATCGAAGTAGTCAACAGATTCTGCTGACCATAGTTCAAATTATTGCAGTACATAAGGGTGAAGGCCTGCAGAGCGAAGAGCCACGAGACGGGGTCGCGGAGAGCCTCGATGAACTGCGCGCGCTTGAACTGTTTCTGCTCTATGGAGCTCTGGTGGGACGATTGTACGCGGCGAACAACGTGGACCTTTTCTTCCGTGGAGAGGAATCTCGCCTCCGCCGGGTTGCTGGGGTAGTCGAACCAGACCCAGATAGAGAGAAGAACTGTCCAGCCGCCGATGACGATCATGAAGAGTTTCCAAGGCAGGATGGCGCCTTTGCTGAAGAGGAGGCCGTATGAGATGAAGCCAGCGGGGATTGGGGCGCCGACACAAGTGATCCATAGGATAGGCTGCAGGAAGGATTGCTCCTTGCGGTTGAAGAACATGCCGATGGTGATTTCGAGCGCGGGTACCACGACAGCCTCGACGGCGCCGAGGAGCAGGCGGAGGACAATAAGACCACCATATTTGACCGCGACACAGTGCAGGAAGATAAGGACGCCCCAGGAGAAGATGATGCCGGCAACGAATCTGCCAAAAGGGAGACGTTGCATGAGGTAGTGGCCGGGCCATTGGCCGATCAGGTAACCTGGTCGTTTTGGTTAAAAAGGCATAGAAGATTGGATATATATCAAAACGAACCGACGTAAAAGAAACTGTTCAAGTTGTTATATTGGGCTTTGGAGATGCCTGTCTCCTCGAAAAGCCCTAGGATCGCTGCATACCCAAGGGTCGACTTGTCCACCTGGGAGCAGTTAGTAAACGAGCTGCAACTTCAAATTATACGGGAGTTTACGGACAAACAAAGTGAGGTTAATAACCGAAACCAGAAACATGATCTTCCAGTACAGCTTTCTCCTCAGTTTTTTCTCCTTCTCGTCCGTCAACGGTCCAACACTGTCCCCATGTTCTTCAATGAGGTGGAGCGTAACATCGGCATATTTCTCCTGGATCGTCTTGGCCGGAGTGCGCCCAGAAACCTGGGCTTCGTCTTTCCCCATGTTGATTGTTTATCTCGATTGTGCTTTGACACACAATCTTAAATCAGGCTTGGTTATCGAGTGACGAGATAAATGGAGGGGGAACAATCCATCGACAGGGATCAGAGATTGCAAGCTTTAAAATATTCCTTGCGATCGAATACCGTTGAAGGATTTAGTCGATCTAGGGCTTGAGGCTTGAGCCATATTGGACGGCGTTTGTGCAATCGATCCTTCGAGGGGTTTTACATAATAATTCATGATAGCGTGATAGATGCAGGAAATGTATCTGTTGAACTCAGAAGCCGATCACTCAAAGGTTAGACGTAATAACTAAATCTTACGTATCCCTTTGGAAGACTGAGGCCGGAGGCTTACTACCATGTATATATCTCATCTATTGTCAGATATTCTAACAATATCATTCATTTTCATCAATTTTAAACAACGTTACAAAATGTTCAACGTCGATTATGCAATCCATCGCGTGATTGTGCTAAAGCAACCCCAAATGCCGTCGCCAAGCCGAGCTTAGCGGATGGCGCCATTGGAGGCGGATAGAGGGGATCGGAGAATGCCGAAGCTCAATGATTATGACGCGCAAGGAAACGAGGAGAGATGACTCTGATCGGTATAAAACCAAGGGTTCGAGTTACTCGCAGAAGGGTCAGGCAACTTCAGGACTCGGAGGATGAAGGTCCGCAGAGGATCGGCGTGAGAACGAGAGAAGATAACAAGGTCAGGCAAGAGAAGTTAGAAACTGAGTCGGGATAAGTGAATACAGGGTAGTGAATGAAACAATACGAGGAAACCAGAACATAGGAAACTGGAACACAAGAAAAACAGTCCCAGAAACTCCTATTCCAGACTTTTCTCGAACTCCTCTACCAGCTCGTCGGCAGTCATCTCATCCGCACGTATCCATTGATCGTGCTCAGCGCCGTAACCTAGCCAACGGATCAAGTATTCGACCAATTCAGTCAAGGACCGACCCCGTTTCACGATTCTCTTATCGGGGATCCTTTCCGCCTCCCATTCGTCATCGGCAACCTCTGCAGGGTGATTGGGTTGCCTAGCGAAGGGGTCTGCTGAGGCAGGTTCAGGTTGAACCGGGTGGATTCTCCAGTGGCTTGGAAGATCCAGCTTGCACGCAAGACCACCTGCTTTTACTTCGGCAATGCGAAAGGGTCCTGCGTAGTGATGCGCGTACTTGCCGAGTAACTTCGTCAATGGCATGGTGTAACCCTTATGGAGCCGCAGGAAGGCATACTGATCTTTCTCATAGACCGGAGGCTTTGTATGCTTCGAGTCGTATAACTGCTTCATTCTGACTGAGGCGTAGGAAAGCGCTTCGGCTGCGTCGATCCGGGTAGTAAAGTCCTGGTGCGTCGTAAAGATGTCTTTGAGCAGGTTCCAGAGAGACCGCAACTTCATACCGAATAGTAGCTCGTGAGGGGTAGATCCCGTTGCAGAGCTCTGTGATGCATTGATAGTCGATACGATAGAAGGTAATAACCCAGCCAACAATAACTTTTCGGTCAATTCCTATTAGAACCGTCCGTAAAATAGTTTTGGGTCATCTACTGAGTGGATGGAATGTGGGTCATCATCATAGCGAGTCAATAGTTGACGACAATCCCCTTCTCATCGACTATTTCGTCAAACCGGCATACAGTATTTCCGGAAAACGGTGTCACCACTTACGTACTCTTTTGTTTCCCAAATATGAGTGCCAAGAAGGGGCTAACCCATAATGGAATGGTGGACGGAAGAACTATGTTCCTTTGTTTTATGATTTCTGCCATTAATACGTAATTAAACGGAAGCTAGAGTATCGTATTGTAATAATTACCACTGTACTCTGGAAGGTTCTATGATGACTAATTAGCGTGTGCCACGCATGGCGGCCTAACATGCCACCTGTCCCCAACTACATCATCTCGTACACTGTCCCAGAGTTGGGAGTTTGGTTATTCCGGGCTAACCCTGACAGGCAGTGGTCAGCATAGCCCTGCATCGCTGCACAGTTGAAACCAAAACATATGGCCCTTATTATTATTCTTCTGGGCCTGTTAGCAACTCTCCCCCTTGCTGACCTCTGTAACTGGCTAACATGACACGTCGAATATTAGGCTCCTCGGCGGTATCTGTTGCCTCGAGGGCATGGCGTTGAGCCCTATGAGTGATGACTATGTGTCCCAAGTTCAACAAATCGGCACATGGGAACAGACTCCGTCGTATGCCCCCACCCCAGGTTTCTTCGATCGTGAACGTACGCTATCCGTATTTAGCTTTTCTTCCAACCATGTACCTGAAGGACGTTCGTCACCCTTGCGTCAACGCCCGTCCAATCAACTGGATTTTCTCGAGGTAGACGAACGGGGAGGTAGACAAGCAAATGATGAACAATCACCGAGCTACATTCGTTATCTGATCGAGTGGAAGGTGACCCTAAATAATCGGGTGGTGAAGAAAGATACCGAACAAGACCTGGTTCTGAAACCTGGTTCGTACTGGGAGCAAATAACACAAAATGCCGAAAAGGCTCTGCAACGAAAGGTCAAGCGTAACCAACGGATCATATCCGATGATACTGAAATAATTGTGTCTGTTAATGACCGCTCGCAAGATGACCTTACCAAAACTTTCGACGGCACTGATGTTGATTGGACAATCATAGAAAATCAGCTCCTAATGTGGAGCAATCTATTACGTGTGGGCAAAAGACTCAAGCTTCGTATCTCCATTAACTATATAGAGGACACCGATCTCCGGCCACTCACGGGAAGTACCGATAAGAGAGGAAAGTCATCGGTCACTAGGAGAATGCTTTCAGAGCGGGATACTCGCATGGATGCCGAGCGTGCCTCCGGGGCACACATGGTTTGGCGCGATGTGTATAGAATAATGCGCTATCCTGGCCGACCATGCCGCAACAATGGGCAATATTGCTGGCAAGACCCTGTCGGAAAAAAGCACTATAAGCTCAAAACCCATCACCTGACAAGTCTAATCAAGTTTGTTGAGAGAGGTGGAACACTGGAGAACCATGATGATATTCCTCATGATCTTCGTCAAGAAATGTATGCAGAAGAGGAACAGCGCCATAAAAAGCAAAAGAAAGAGTGCCCCCAATCCGTGGTAGGATCAACATGTCCTCCAATCAACATTAACCTCAACCCGGCACAACCAACACATCCATTCTTGACCAGTTCTGATGTTGCAACATCAACCGTCTGCCCCGACCCTATTGATATCTCCGGCCCGCTTGATATAGCTGTCGAGGAATACATTTCCTGGCAGGAATCCCGTGTGAGCCGCACAGCTTTCAAAGCAGAAATTGCTAAAGCAGGCAACGTGGCACTAGAGAACTGTCTGGATCTTAGACAGATTGACAAAGACCAAGACTTCGAGTTTTTTGTTAAGGAGGGCGTAAAAGTTGGCGCTGCACGCAGGTTCGTCAGCGAAATAAGGTGTTGGCTCAGTGAGCGGCAAAGGAGAAACGACTCGGAGGAAAGCTTAGACAGTTTCTCATTGTCGGCATAGATGTGCGCTATGGGCACAGTAGTAGTGTCATAAGTATTCGTCTCTATTTAACGCTTATCCACTTATCCACTTACCCACCTCTTAAAGCTTATTTAACTAGTTAGTTAACTAACTATTCATGGCTGGCTGAACACGTTGACCGTGTTCTAGTTATATGGGCTTCATCTGCTTCTGTACTTACCCATTGGCGTATGCAATATCAACAATGGCACTTATGATGTACAATAACTGGAAATAAGACTAGCTGTGAAGGGAGGAAGCAGATACACTAGAAGCCAAAACTAATGTCACCTCTAAGTCTCTTTTTGTCTCTCCAACTCTAGCAAGGAGACCCACTAATACACAATGGGAATATCTCCGGAATAGTAATACCCCTGCAGTTGTATTGCTGATACCGTACATGCCTTATCGAAACCAGTCCGGCATCCAGATACACGTTGATTATATGGGAGGTAAGTTTCCATCCGCTATAGAGGACAACTCCTCAGAGTCATCAACGCTGATAAAGCAGGAAAATATAACTCGGGATGAGGTAAGTGCCGAGGACTTGCTGAGACGGCCTTGGTCAAGTATGCCAAGTAAGAGACTAATTAGATCTTTGATAATATATAGTAATTCATCTACTGTACCGACTTGGGGTATGTTCAGTCCACTGCCTGGGATATTCGAGAGCTCAAGGTTGGTTCATTTGCTTTCTAGACGGACCAAGAATCCGTGGTGATACGTATCGTTTCCCCAGTTGTGTGTTTATCGCGATTCTCAACTGATTTGCCCAAGATGGTAACATCAACGCAGCCAGAGCATCTCCAGATAAGCAACTATGTGCAAGGTCATTGGAGAATTCATTCTCGGTTTGCTCCCTGGCCAGGTTTCCAACATCTTGTAGAACAACTTGCCGTGGCATGCACACAAAATTGAACCATGTATATGGAATGCCTTCCTCCGCATGGCCTTTGATAATAAGTCTGCCAATTCCGTCATCAATTGCCATAAGGTCCGAAATGATAAAGGCTCTTTTTGCAGGAACAAGAAGATGAAACTGCACTTTTTCTGCATCCACTCTTCCGACCTTCTGGTATAGAGATTGTCGATTCTCCCACATTAAATGGAATAACCCCTCTATATCAGAGCTGAAGCCACCAAAGGACGCAGGCAATGGCTTCTCCCGTACCATCTTCTTGAACACAACGTTGGCGCTTGTGGTTGGGTTATAAACGTAAAATGCGTGGTGACCAACTGACGCTTCCCCACCGTGATCGTGAATTTCGTTCTCTAGGAACCAGTAAATAAAGGCGCCGAACCCTTTAGTCTCCCATCCTTGCATTTTGGCCGTTGTCTGAGCTCCGAGCTCGTCACCAATTTCCCCTAAACGAAGACCCATACCCTTCAACTCATTCCCTGTTCTCACCGCGAGAGCAGCACCCACAAAGATGCTCGCTGCAAATACGGTAGTAAACTCTGGACCTGCGTTGAATCCGTTCTGAGGGATTTCAAACGTTCGAGGCGCTAATGTATGGGTGGAAGGCCAGTGGCTGGTATTTATTTGTTCGTGGAGGGCTTCTTGCGTTCGTGCTGTTCTTTCTGAGGCAACCCTTGTCGCTTCGGATGCTGCTTCCTGAGCAGCTGCGGCTCGCCTGGTCTTCTCGTCGGTGATGAGACTCGAGGCCATAGGAAGAACAATGGAAATTACTTGAATAGCTGTCCAAAATGCTGGAGGCACTGCAGGTAACGGCATTCTGAGTTCCCACCTTGTTAGCATCCTTCAGCTCAAGTGGGTAGCAAACCTTCCATACTTGAATAACACACAATTGTCTGGTTCAAAATATAGAATCAGCTAATAAACTTTCTGTAAAAGTTCCGCTGTCACTTCTAAAGAAAGTATTAGTGGACTGCAGCATGATGATTCCTTCTCCACCTTAGAACAAGTGAAAGAGGGGCAGAGAGGGGCAACTAGGTCTTACCTTGTAGTGTTATGTGAAAGAGCCCGGTACAGTAAGTGTAACAAACGAACAACCAACATACATACCATTTATGAGATTAGGTCTCTATTGTGTAGCCAGAAATCCGAAAATCCTTTCGGCATTTTGCTTTCTTCCCAACAGTGCCAACTACCAAAGACGCGTACTGAAGCCTTGGTCATCATGTGATAGTCCTTATCGTACCGTACAGGAGACTACCTGGGATTTCTTCGGATTATTACAAAAGAGGCTAAACTTGGTCTTGGCATAACGACTTGGGAGACAAAACTGTTGTTTCTAGGGGTGACACTGGCTTTGGCTTTGCGTATAAACTACCCTCATTATAGGTTTTCTAGAGCAATTCCTGCGTGCCGGAAATGCCCTCTGGCACTCTTCTTTTTGACGCCAACCTCTTCGATGCACCATTCAAGAAAAGAATCAAATCCTTGCTCGGTGTTATCTTCGTATAACTGCCAGCGTCGTCGAATGAAAGCCTTCAGCTCTGCGAAAAATTCTTCAATAGGGTTAAGATCTGGCGAGTAAGGTGGGAGATAAACCAACTTGACCCCCTTCTCAGAACATAACCGCTGTATCCGTTCAGAATGGTGGAAAGAAGCGTTGTCCATGATAAGAACAGATTTAGGTTGCGGATATGGGTGACAATGCTGAAGCAGCTCTGCAATAAAATCCTCAAAAAAAGCTGTATCAGTTGAGCCCTGGAATACACGGGACAGTAATATTCCATCTTTTGTATACGCAGGAAGTATTTGGTATCTCCGATCGCGATGAAACTTGGATATTTGGACTGGTGCCACCCCAAGAGGAGACCAACCAGTTCGTCTGAACCCTATACGTTTATCACACCCGGACTCGTCCACAAAAACGAGCTGATATGAACGGAACTCTGAGATATCATGAAAATAATCATCCCGTAAGTCTTGGTTTTGCTCCCTTGCCTTTTGTCGTGCATTCTTCTTTGACCATCCCTGGAGATGAAGTTCTTCGCTAATAGTGGACTTTGATACAGTAAGAGTCAAAACTAGTGTCACCCCAAAGTTTCATTTTTTGTTTCAGGAACCCTAAGGCGAAGATCCGCTAGTACATATTGAGACTACCCCTCAGAATAATTATAATCCCTTTGTAATCACGTATCTCCCGTACAGTATCAAAAATATACGTCATGCGTTTACTTGGTATTGCCCAGTACGCTAGTCCTGCATGGGCTTGGACGCCTGGAAGCTTCGATGCAAACTAGTGCAAACAGGGCTGACCAGTTGCCTGAAACAGCAAACAACTGCCTGTTCCTATCTTGCCCCTGGGCTCAGGCACCCAGCAACGCTGAGCGAGAACTAATTAGCATAGCTTCAATGACTCTACTTATCATCATATTCTGCTTGTCAGGAACCAGTATTGCTCTATTTATCATGCTTCTGCGTTGAAAGCTAACGCCATATGTTGTCAACGTTAGGATCCTCGGTGGCGTCTTCTGCCTCGAGGAGATGAGCTTCGTGCCCTTGAATAACAACATTGCCACTCAAATAAACGGGTGGGAACGCACCCCCTCGTATTACCCTACTCCTGGCGACTTCGGCCGCGAACGAACGTCATCTATGGCTTGTCTCTCCCCCACCTATACGCACGGTGACCGGACTTCCCTCTTGCATAGGCCCGTATTAGAGCGGAGAAAATGCAGTGGTCATAGACATCAGCAGCATTAGCAGAATAACTCGCGGTTGGTACTCACTAGAAATTCAAGGTGAGGAGTCCCTTTTTGATCTTTCGTTTGGACAACGTCGACTTAATGATGCTTGGGCGTACAAATGGACAACTTCTATCTGAGATCGTGTCTCATGCAAGGTACGACACGTTTGGGGTTACTTTGAAGTATGTTGCAGAGTGTTTAATGAAAGGCAGTCGATTTCTCAACATTAGCAAAGGCTCTGAGGCGCACCGCTTATACATGTTAGTCAAACAATTATCCAAGTAAATGCAAACGTGAATTCTGCCCCAATGATGGCCGCAGCACCAAGAGCTAGAATACCTCCAGCACATATGATTGTTGGTATAGCAATATCAAAAATCTTTTCGAATATGTCAAAACCTTTGCCGAATTGATCGGCAAGTTTCAATTCCAGGAACGGCATGTCGAGATACGCGGGGTCCTCTGTATTGAGATAAAATTGTAAAATACCTTCCCATAGTCTGTCCCGCTCTTGTGATATCAAGCTAGAATCAGACTGATCGTCAAAGCTGACACCCACGTGAAAAGACCTGGCTCCTCCAGGTTGAGCGACCTCAAATGATCCCCATTCCCGGGACGCCATTTGGAGCTCCTGCGTCACACATCTTGCTCTGTGCCTGCCAGAAGTCATATCCCATTTCGTCGTTATAAAAGTGATTCTGTGGTTGGTACTCGGGACGCATATCTCTTTTAAAAACTCAACGCACTCCCTCATTCCCGCAGAGGGTCGGACATCAAGAATGCTTTGGACATATAAAATGCCATGGACACCACCTAGGTGACGAGTGAAGTAGCCAAGCATAGAAAAAATCTTCTTTTTCACTGTCTTGGTTGGTAGGTCAGGGTCTCCGAAACCAGGAGTGTCGACAAATATAACAGTTCGCTTTTGTACTTTGGTTACGACACATTCCGCATTCTGTGTCCCTGAAAAGGGTCACTATAGGGGCTGAGAATTTTTTTTTAACTAAGCAAACATACCACTCCTTAACTCATGCTCCACGTATATGTCTTTTCCAGTAATCAGTTTTACCAGGTTGGTTTTTCCTGCTCCTGCTGGACCAACTACAAAGATGACGATGGCGTTTTGAGGTAGCTTGCTATTCAATGTAAGTCTTTATTTCTAAAAAGTAGCCGGTTGCTATTTTACCCACTTTTCCTTCAGCTGCTGTACTATCTTAGCATTCCATTGCTTTCGTTGCTCATCATATCCTTCGCGAGCTGTTTCCGAAATGAGCGAGACTCTACATAGTCCAGACTGGATTCTGCCGACTTACTTTGATTTGCCATGTTATTATCCTTTTGTGAGGGAAGCTTGAACCCGACGCTCATAAAAGAGTGAGGAAGCAACAGTGCGGGGTTTTGAGAGTATAATATTTTAATAGTCTGCCCAGCTAAGGCTAATTCCATTGGTGCCACGTACAGTCGGTCTCGAAATCGCTCTGACCTTCTGACACATGACAGTTGTTTTCAAGCCCCACTGCCAAGAGCTTAGTTTAAGAGCTATAATTCCCTAATTGCCTATAAATGAGGGCAGCCGTAACTTTCCTATTAAAAACAGTTACACCCGCCCTCAATGGGTAAATCTAAATTCCAAGCCTAGGTCTTGGCAGTGAGGCCAGGAAAAACTGTCATGCGTCAGAAGGTCAGAGCGATTTCGAGACCGACTGTACTATACTCCGTAGTCAGATTCCCTTCACTTGAACCACGCCTACCACCTCAGTGCCTTCATAGTAGCGCCTTATCTTTAGGATCAGGAATTGTCATTACTCCAGAGCAGGTGAAGGAGGTTCTGATTCTGACTAGTGATGCGAGTATGCCTCGATCGTTAGGCTAGAATTCCGAAAGTGACCTATAGACATTGATATCTCCCATGGGACTAGTAAAAATTCAGTCCCACTCCCACGGGACCAAGTCTCGTCGTTCGCCCATGGGGAGTCCCGTGGGACTCCCATGAGCCACGCCAAGCTCATTATTTTGCATAATCTTCCTGAAAGGGATGGATAAAATGATGCCTTGTCTGGATTCTTTACCGTTATTAAACAGTGTTTTGGTATGGTTTTAATATCTCCCTTGATTCAGCTTTATTCCTAATGAAATTTAATGAAATCTAATTGTATATAGCTGATCAGGTATTAGAGATGAGATATTGCCCTCTTGTCAAGATATTTTAATCACTGGGTGGGTATTTTGGAGGATGGAGCGGTAGATGAAGTATATAGAGTGAGATAAATACAGGCTTTCCATGAAACGGTGTCACTACCTACTCTCTTTCCTTCCTTTCTAGAGTCTAGTGCCAAGATAAAATGCCCCACAACTAGACGGGTCTGTGGGCTACTCTAAACTTGAGTGGACAGCTGTTACCAGCGCTTAGCCGCATAAGGAATAGTGTGCCTCGGGAAGAAGGAAAGAAAGAGAGGAGGTAGTGACACCGTTTCCCGGAAAGCCTGTATAAGACATATATGGTCAAGCCGATTTCGAAAATGGCTGTACTTCCAAGTACGATATTAAGCTAATTTACACCAAGTCCTGTGCTATTCAAGCCTCAAGTAATTTCAACGCATCATCCATTGCGTTGTTCTTCTCAACCTCATCAGAGGAGTCAGATTCGTCCTCAAAACAGGTTCCATATTCTTCAGTCTCACTCCAGCTGCAAGAATCTCTAGAGAGATATATAAATGATTCTTGAGTCTCGAACATGGCATCCTTTAGCGCTGACATTGCGAATGCCTCGCTATAAGCTTTGTACCTGTCATTATGCTCTTTGAAACCAGGCAAGATAATTCGCTCATACCAATTATCAGTCTTGATTAAATTATCTCATTCCCAATTTCCTACAGCTTCATCTTCCGTAACTTCCCAGAGACAAATATAGTGATTCTTATAATATTCATTTGATCTGTTGTATGGGTCAGGAACTCCATAGTAACGCATTTCGGCATCCATGTTAAGGATAGGAAAGCCATCCCTTGTTCGAACATTCGCGTTTACTACCGTAATCGTTTGACTGCCTCTTTTCCGCCGCTCCCTGAATTCGACCATTTTTTGTTGCTCTTGCGGTGATTGCGTGAATGAAATGAATGGGGTAGGCTCCCATATCCCGTGGTCGGCGTGTATAGCTAGGGACGTCTTCCGGGCACTTGAGGTATCCAGTCGCTCACGAGGTAACCTCGATAACATTCTGCCGTTTTTGGTAGGTTGGCTACCTAAAACCCTATCCTAAGTTCGTAGCAGTGGCAAATTAGGGCTGACAGAAAAAGCAGAACCTCAGGGGTGCAAGATCTCTTCCCACTCATGTGGGTCCCCTAACAGGCTCAACACGGTAGCTCGAGTGAGAAGTTTGTCCACCATCCTAGATATGAACGGCTATTTGCAGATTGACTTTTCTGTATCTTTTTCGTTGAAGGTGGGTCCTCATTGTGAGATTCATCGGGGTGAGGATGGAATGGTAGAGATGCCCAAAAGCGGGGCATGGGATTATGTTACCTGGATCAATATAAACCCGATCTACATAACTTCGCCGAAGGGCGGGGTGAAAGTGGGGTTTGATGATCCTCCCATCTGAAACTCCTCGATCGTCACTGTATATGAACCCACTCGACAGAGATGGCCGAAGTCAAGGATGATATGACACAGGACGGTGAGGACTGCTGTAGATTTGGATTAAAGCCCAAGCTAATATTATTAACGATTCCACTAGCACGCTGTCTATATCTCTTTCAGTTACCCCTCGAAGATGTGATGAAAATCGCTTCCATCTCTCAGTCTGGTGTAGTTCCGAATCCCGATGTCAATTGGAATGACAGGAATGATCTTCGTCTCGCCGCTGAACTACCAAGGATTACCACACAAGCGTTTGACATTCGATGCCATATCGGAGTCATCATTATCGATAGAGGCATTAGTGCTGACACAACCTTGAGCCTGGAGGATAAATTAAGGGGCGGCTGGATTTTTGAACACCCCGGCCCTCACGTGGAGCGATCTATCGATGTTGTTGGGAGAATGCCCCGACCAGGAGAGATTAAGACCTTCACTGCGCTTGAATTTGTCGAACATACAAGAAAGGGAAATGATGAATTAAATGCTTTATGTATGTCAAGTCATTACCCTTATTTTTCATGAACGCCATGCTCATTCTAAGTAGTGCAGGAAATTATTCGAGTTAATGCAGCTCCTCACCACAAGCCAAAATATTGACCCCTTTATTGGAATTGTCATGATATAGGTATTTTATTCTCCTATTTGGCGACTTCGGGAGAAATAAGATTGAATCTAACACAGCGCTTTCTTCGACAATTTCTTTCCGCAAAACTACAATCTCAAAGGTTACTTAATACTGCTTCATCAACTTCTCTGGTACTGCTTTCCAAATTGACGGATATTCTCGAAGGAGCAGCTTATATCCCGGTAACTTTGGTTGCTCCTGTGATTGGGGTACCTCTTTTAACACGAAAGGCATACCGTGAAATACAATCATGGCTTCATGTGCAGTGTATGGTTGACAGGGCCATCGTGGATCGAATGGATTGCGTTTGTGTGTTGCAAGAACGCTTCCCTTCGCTTCATGATCTCACGCTACCACTTGAATGGGAAAATCATGAGAGGTCTTATGAGTGGCTTAGAAATTTACAGGGGAAATGGTGGTTTTATGTTTTGTTCCCTTCGTTGCATTCAACCAGTCATACTGTGTCATATTAGGAACGCTCTGAAGCCTTGGACGGGGTTGTCTTCGAAAGGCTGCTAATGTCTCTTAATAAATGCCTTCAACTCAGCGAAGAGCTTCTTAATAGGGTCTAAGTCTGGTGAGTATGAAGACAGATATACAAGCTTAATCCCTGTATTTGAGTACATATGTTCAATCATCTCATAATAATAGAAGGAGGCATTATCCATAATAAAAACAGATTTCGGCTCTGACTACTTTCCACAATGATGGAGTAGCTCTTCAATAAAATCTTTAAAGCATATTTTACTTCGCTCAAAAACTTCTATATAATTTGACTTGTATGTGGTTGAATGGCTTCAATTTCTATATGGGCGCTGAGTTGAAAAACGGGCGTCAGGTGATCAACTACGGTATGGTACATGGGGAGGATTGGCAACGTGGCTTCGAGAAACGCCTTGTACTGTAGAAACGCGTAATAAATGCATGCAAGAGTCATATGACGATATCTTACAGTACTATACGTAGCCTAGAATAGAGTTCTCGGAAAAGTTATAAAAGAGGTTAAGCGCAACTCTTGGCATAGGGTCCGGGAGACAAGCAAAAATCCTCGGGGGTGACACTGCTTTTGACTTCGAGTGTATATGCTCGCTAAACTCGTCTAGCAAAAATAGTTGCATTTCCAAGAGATATAATCCAGGTTTTTCTAATAGGTGGTTAAGAAGGGCTTCAATCATAGTGGGTGTCATGCGTCGTGGCCGTCCTTTTTTTATCGGAGGGGCCTTGATACTGCCGAATAATTTGAGGTTTGAGCGGATTCTGATGATGGCACGCTTGCTGCAGCCAGCAGCTTCGGCCATTTGAGATGTGGTAAGCTCATCGCTGCATACCATATCACGAATGAATTCAAGTGTAGATTGGGGTAAGTTAGGCGCCATCCTTTGTCGGAAGTGAGTAATGTTTGAGATGAATACGAAGTTTGGAAATGAGGACTCCATTTCCACCTGTGACCGTGTAATTTACGGGGCTTGTATCCATACCATACATTACAGAGCGCTTGGCAATGTGAGACCGGATTAATTCTTAAAATAGATTAATGGGGCTTGGCAGCATGGTGTGGGAAAAGAAGAAAGAGTATAATTGGTGACACCATTTTCCGGAACTACTGTAGCAAACCGCAGGAATGGCCCAGGATCATATTTGTACTCGTTATGAAAGTAAAAGCCCCTTCTAAGCAGCCATAAAAATGATTGGATTCGTATTGAACGTTTCGGTCAATCACTGATTGGGGTCTGGGAACATTCCTAGGTATCCTGCAAGCATTATATAGAGCCCCTGGATCCTCCCTCCTAGAGAGCCTTTTCTCCCTATGGGAAATTCTTTGACTACGAGTCATAAACAAACATGTCTTTTACTAAGCTCCTTTGTAGACCGTCACAAACCTGACCATAGACGAACGGTGAGCACCAAACATCAACCACCCATCCATTCTTCCCTCCGAGCAATTCCCGAGCCAATGACGCATGTGATCTGCGCTAACCCCATTAGGTTGGCTCTCGTTTCTCGGTCCTTCGAGAGGATTCGCTGACCTGTGACCCATCCATCCTATTGCCTGAGGCATCACCATTCTACTTTGTCAGCATTCTGTCGAGACATGATCCATCCATTTCACGTGCTGTAGCTGGAGAATGGAAAGATAGGCTACAGAAACAATTCCCACCCATAACCCCAGATCACCTCCATTTCCATCTAGTCAGTATAACACAAAGACCTCCCTCCCCTTAAGTCGATGTGCTGTATGCGCACGTGACACATCTACGGCATCGCAAGCCCCCCAAAGACGAAACCCCTCGGTATGACATCAGCGGTCCGCCGGACTTGATTCGCCACAGCCACGCGCGGAGAGGATCGATGACATCGCCTCTAAGGTACCTTAAGCTGAGGTAGCTAACAGCTTACCTGTTTGCTGGAGCGGTTCCTTATCCCATGAGATCAGAGATCAGGACCCTCGTATAGTACCTTACTGTAGGTTTCTTCTCCTGGACGGACGGATCTACCTACCGTTTTGCCTATACAACTGTCCTGTACACCGTACCTACCTAGTGGATTCAGGATACACGATGCAGGTAGACTGTCGAGTCTCCGAAACTATGTATGTGGATAGTTAGTTTTCACAATAATACCAGTATCTACTCCGTAGAAAGTGGGTAGTTCAAGACAAATGCAAACAACTAAATCAAACAAAAAAAAATTCCCCTAGTAAACCCAAAGTCCAATCTATAATCCCACCCACCCTGCCAAACCAAGCCAGTAGCAGCAAAAGACAGACAAGAGAAAAGATCCAAACCCAACTACACCAACCGAAACTAGAAAAGAAAACACCTGAATACCCAGTCTAGCACATCCAATCTGTTCATAAGGTAGCACTAACACTAGCACTGATCATCACCGAACGTCATTTCATCGTCATAAGGGTCACCCCGGGTGGAGGTCAAACGGCCGCAACCACGTGGTTTTGATGACTGAGGGTCCATCGTCCATTCGATGGATCAATCAGATCATCCGCAGGGGTAGGAAGGCCGTCATGACGGCGAAGGTGCAGAGAGAGAGAAACAAGAATGCTCTATTATGATAGTCGCCGATGTTCGCCGAAGTAAAAAGAAGAAGAAAGGGAGACGGGCGGAGAGGAAAATGATAAGAAAAAAAAAGAAAATGGCTAGGCTAGCTAACGATCAGCCGCTTTCACGCTCATGCTCCGTCACTCGTTCAACATAACCGATTCAAACCAGTCCATTCTGTGTATCCCAATTCCGCCCATGCATCAGAAGAACAGGGAGACTTCGAAATCATCTGCTGAGATCCTGCTGCCGTCGCCCGGTCGGAATTCCGCAATCATATCCTGTCCCTCGGGTATCTCGCCAACAACGGTATCGTCGATCATGATGCGCAGGCCGGCCTGGTTCACGCGAAGAAGACGCGCGATGCGCTCGGGGGCGGTATCGTGGACTTTGGAGAGCTGACGTTTCAAATTCGACACCGTTCGTTCCATCAGATATAACGCGCGATAGTACTCGTCGATCTGGCCGTCGACTCGGCACAGGACATAGAAGCATGCAACTACAGAAGAAAGATGACCAGTGAGACTCTGTCTATTACGCTAGACAGGGGCATTGGGGGATGACTTACTTGCTTTCCCGTGAACACCGTCCCGACTACGAATCGGCACGTTCTCGAGCGTCGCCTGCCCTCCGCCTCCGGGGTCGGTGGCTGGTGTCTGCATGTTCGAACGTGCCGCCAGGGCAGGCGACTGGTACGCACTATACGCTTCCTCGTCGCCCTGGTCCTGCAGCATCTCCATCCATTCATTGTCGGTATTCATCTCCGACGGCAGTTCGCTCTGTGTGGCGGACCGTGCAGGCGGCTTTGGACTCGACGTGCCGCTCGACAACTCGACCGGAAACTGGTCCGGATCATCCTGGTCATTGCCACGCAGCGAGAGCACGCTTGTCGGCTGCGAGGACGAAAGGACTTTGCGTAGGTCAAACAACTCCTGGTAGAGGTCTTCTCCGTTCGAGAAGCTGTGCGCTCGACGAGGCACTCGGCTGCTGCTGGGCTCGGCGTCCACCGATTCCAACAACTGCTCTGACGCTCGCGAGGGCAGTGGGACGCGCACGCGTTTCTTCTTTCCCGGCGCTTTGGTATTGTAGAACTCGGCCTCGGAGATCTTCTCCTCCATCTTCCGGATCGCCCGTCGCAGGTGAATCGTGTCGTTCGACAGCTTTCGCTCAGCGCCATGGTCACGGAACACCTTCACCTTGCAGTAGCAGATCTCCGTACTGCCCGGGGCACCAGGCTGCTGAATCAAGCCCTGCGAGACCAGCTCGGTTTTGGCACACAGCCGCAAAGGTGCACCCTTGACGCCCTTGGAAAGACTGAAGTCCGTGGACAGACAATTGAAGGCGACGTGCATCTCGCAGCCGACGCGAACAGCGTGCGGTTCGACCGTCCACTGCACGCAAAAGCCGTCAAACGAGGTGCTCTGCAGCTCGACGTGGGCAGCGCCCTCTTCCCGGAACCCGTCGTTACGGACATTGACGAATTCCACCGCGGACAGCTTCCCGTCTCGTTTACGCGCTTCGTTGAGGCCCCGACCGTCTCGCCAGAGTCGCCACGAACCGACCGGGTCCTCTCGCTGGGCCGCGTTGTCGAATGAAATGCGAACGTACGTGCGGTATCGAGCGGTCTGGACGCGGAATGATGGTGGTCTCGTGTCCGTGACGGATATCAGATACGGCTGACACCGATTCAGGTAGGTGACGGGAATCTCCCGCGTCTGGTTGAAAGTGGCCGTGGGCGCATGCAGAGTCACTCGGTATCGCAGAGTCGGTGACTCCTGAGATCTAGGCTGGTGGTTGTTAAAGAGGCCATCGGTGTCATGGGGAAGGGGCCCATGTAATGGTCCATGGTTCGGTGCATTGTCTGTCGAGTCAGAGGCTACTCCCATCAAGGTATCCAAATGGGACGGAGCCCCCAGCAACGGGTCTAACGTACCTTGTTGGAAGAGGTTGCCTTGAGACAATAGACCTAGGGAGTCATACTCGGAGTGACGGCGAGGAATAGGTTGAGGGGAATTGGTGAGTTCTGATAAAAAGGGGTTTATGCTGTGCAGAGGGTTGGGATTAGAATCATACTGAGTGGGATCACTAATTGACACCCCGTCCAACTGATGATTGGGATCCAAGTTGGATGTCCGGTTCCAGGTCCAGGGAGTGGTCGGGGCATTGCACTCGTGAGCCGGGGTGTGCAAATCACCAGCCGGACTGTGCAAGACAGTACACATCCGATTGCCCAGGACGTTGCAGGAGCAGTTCTGGCGGGTGATGGGCGACAGAAAGTTGACGGGGCTGTGGTCCACCGACATACTCTCCGTCTTGGGCACGTGGTCGGCGGCATCAGCGTCCTGAGGCACCGCCTGGTCGGCAGGGTCCCTCAAGGGAGTCTGCGGTGAGTAAGATCGGGTGGCTATACTCCCAAACTGTCTCTGGAAGTCACGAATAAACGATTCGTCTGGTTTCCGGGATGTTCTCCTTGATGGATGAGAAGGAGAAAAGTCAGTGCGTCTTGTGCCATGAAAAACAGGGATATACATTCCCAGGAGGAATTGTGCGCGGTCAATTTACCTTTTTCCGAACATGTTGGGCCGATCTCCCAGGCTGGGGAGGGATAATTGCATCGACAAAGCTTGATTATAGCTTGTTTGATGCGGCTGGCTGATTTTTATTTTTCTTTCTTTTTTTATATCTTTCTTGCTGGTTCTTTGCCGGACCAGTCTGGGGTTTACCTCCAGATGAAGGAAGATTTAAGGTATGGACTTGGTTAAGGTAACTGTCTCAGGGAAAGCCCGAGTCAGGTGATGAAGGCGGCCACAGGGCAACCCGAACAAAAGCCCTTGGGCCGAGAAGTGAATTGAGCTTATGCTAATGATAACGAATTAAAGGAGACCCAGTGGAGGGGGGAAAGGAGGAGAGGGAGTTTGAAGACGGAGCCCTTCGGCTGCGCAAGCAAAGTCGCACCTTTCCCAGTAGGAATCTCAAGTGAAGGGAGAATACAAACGGGCCCAAGTGATAGGCCAATGCCATTCACTGACTACCAGGTCAATGCTCCAGGCTGAGGCGGTGGTCTGGGGGTTGAAATAAAGAAGGATGATGCTGTATAGAGGCTGTGTGCAGCAACGAACGTGCGCGAGAGAGACCGATGATTCGAGAAAGATCTTTGCGGATCTATGCGATGTGCCGTCCTCTGATAGCTTTGCCAGCGTCGAACGTATAAGGTATCTCGTCGAGAAGCTTCAGAGACTTGACGATTGAGGCTTCCGGAAGTGACTTGGGATCTCGGAACATCGTTAAGCCACGACGATAAACTCATCGATGGCCGTTCAGGCCGTGGTAATTACCTTAGGCCGGCCACCCTTTGATCGAAAGTGCTAGAAAGTGCCACGCACTGCGCGCTGCCGCCACGATGTCAATGGCAGCCAGAACGACCCACTAGGCCTGTCTAGGCAGGTCTGAATGACGATCTGGTAATGCCACGCAGCTCCTGATTGGGCCGGCATCTCAAGCCGCCACGCATTTGAAAGCGGGCCTCAGGCTCATCCGCCAAGCCCCCGGGCTAAACCCGGACGGGTCGCTTCTCTATCCTTCGACGACATCTTCATCCGCCCAGCATTGTGGGCAGGTCTCCATATGATCCTCCTGCGACCCCTGGTTCCGACATCTTGGAGTCATCTGTATGCTCCATCCCAGTTGTTCCAACTTATATGCCTGTCCCTATACCACAACGGTATCTCGTCTGGCGATAGACAGGGTTGCTATCCGCTTCTGGTAAGAGGGGGGCATGCACTACCGGAGCGAATTCACACAATCCTTATTTTTTCCGGTGGGTAAAGGGAATCTCAATTTTCCCATGGTGATGCCGACACTTCCAGGTGATTATTTCTTACTAATAGATACGGCGAGGTGGTATTTATGATGCTACCATTCTGCATCGTGGGAGGTGAAGTTGATGAACGAGTTCCGAGAGAGTCCCGTGCCTCTATTGCCGGAGATTTGGGCCTTGTGTCCTGAGACCACCTCATCTCTCTCTCCCTTTGCATGCGTCTGGCACCCTCTACCTTGAATCTCTGTCCACCGTCATCTTCTGAACCCTTCTTTCATGATACCGCAACAACCCCCATCATCGCGTTTTTCTGCGTTTTCTAAAACATGGTCTCGATATGCAATCCATGGCTTGAATGGTCGGCAGTCAGCATGCCCTGTATCTCTATTTACGACTCCTGGCCCCGACATAGCTACTACCATCGTTCACAATGCCGTGACACCACCAAATTCTAAGGACGAGCTATTTACCCGGTATCTTCTCCCGACCTCCCTGATCTGTCTCCGGATTTTGATCAGTTAGGATCATCGCGATCGACGTCTCGATAAGCCCAGCACGAACAACTGACACTAAACACCACCGTCCCGATCGCATCAACCTCGTTCTATCGCCCCAGAGCGCGTCAACCGCATTACGGCGCGTGAGATGAAATATCCATCACCAATATCATCGCCTTGTTCACTATCAAGTCGCTCATATTCTCGTCCATCAAAATCGTACCGCGGAAGTTCCGCTCGCGCCGCTGCCCTCACGAACCCCGTGTAGTTGATAATCTCCATCCACTTCACATCGTTTGGGGGATTTCCGATCGCCGACCGTAGGTAGTTAACGCTGTCGCAGCAATCAGACCGTCGAACCGATTCATCCGACTCGCGACCGATCTCATGCTCTGCATGTCTTGCCGGAGATGCAATGCGCCCTAGAACAGTGAGCACGACTTCTCGAGCCAGCCGCAACCGATCTCCCGGGTCGACAAGTCGATGCAAAGAACACCTGATGGCATAATACCATAAACGAGTCGATGTTGGAGCAATTGGAGTACCACTTCGTTGGAGAGAGAGAGAGGGAGGTACGGAGAGCGCGCGGCATCTACAGGTATTACGCATCCGCCATCTCCAGCCCTTACTCTCTCATTTTGACTCCACCGGAAATACCGCAACCTATATTCCGTGCATTTCCAACTTACGAATTCGGTGATCCCCGGTCTTCGGACAACCTCCTCGGCAGAAATTCAGGGATGTAGCCGTTGCGAGGCAGTGGGTGAGAACAGGGATATAATCTCCGGGCTGGAAGCCGTTCCGGTTGGTGGATGTGGATCTCAAAGAGACGATCGCATAAGATTGGGACTCGCGGGGCCATGGTTCCGGTTCTGAGCTCGGGTAACTTAATCTGGGTTCCGTGGTTGTGGATTGCGATTGAGATTTCAGATGGAGGAACCCCGAGCGAGGACCGAGGGTATCAGGTAGGTAGGTGGTCGGAACTCGAAAGTACAGAATTTCTCTATCATTGTAGAAAAAAAAAAAGAGGAATCAGAGAAAAAAGAAATAAAAAAATAACTTGAATAGAGAAAGCGTACCAAGCGACCGCACCCGCGCTCTATCCATGGATATATAATAATAATAATAATATTGTTACCCCGTTGGGCCAATGGCCATCCGGTCTATCTCGCTATCTAGGGGGGGAAACCGAGCTCTTGGCCTTGTGCAGACCGACCTGAAGCTTGAGCAGATCCTTGGAAGACACTGTCTCCTACCCTCTCCATGGATATATATAACTTCAATTTCTGATTCCTTTGCCCACAAAAACACATAGAGGATACTTTATGACCATATAAATGATAATCATTAAAGTTGGGTATTGCGAAAGACTACGCCAATAAACCCAACATTCCCGATGTTCTACGTAGGTGTACAGCCTTATAGAAACGGACCGGGGCGTTGAACCGTTCACCTCGTGGTCAACGCATCCACCAATCCACTCCCCTCGGATGAAACAATCACCAGATCCATTATTAAGTGAAGAAAACACCTCAAGAACAAAACTGATAATGATTTAGACATACAAATTAGGACAGGACAATATACTTGAGATGATCAATACCAGTCCAATAGCCGAACTATCAACATGTGTACTGTGTAGCAGCAATTCTCCAACCGATGCCTACGAACTAAGCAAACAAAGAAGTGACAGCCTGAAAAAGTTGGCGCCGCCCGTGCCTTGACCACGGAATTGAATGCCTTAGGTTCTGGGCAGACCATGAGCTGTCTTCTGATTGGCGGGTCGCGTGCCGTCAAGTGGAGGCCTGAGGCCATCGGATCGACTAGAATTGGCTTAGCGGGTTCCGTGGATTTCATCGGTTTGCTTTAGAGATTCGCTGGATTTCTTTCTTTCGGGTTCTACAGTTTTTTTTTCTCTCCCTCGACACGGTGTAGACGGTCTTATTTCCACAGCCGCTTCACACGTGAGGGATTTGCTTTGATTTTTACTGTCTACGCTGGGGACGTTTCTATGCAGATCTCCTTGCCTACCTAGGTAGGTAAGGTACTGTGTAGAATGGAAGACTCACGGATAAAACTCGGCTTCTGGAATAACCCGAGAATTAATCGTTTCGTCATGATCAATTTGTTTTCTGCTTCCTAAAATTAGGTGTATCGGATATAACACGTCCTCTTTGCAAGAGAGTCAAAAATTCATCAATTAAAAATGACTGAGCACATGTTTCATGAGCAGAGCCCAATAACATCTGAGGAATACATCTCTACTACCGCGTGACTACTGAGTGGGTGCAGCTCCATGATTGTTGATCTAGATCCAGGAAATGACTTTCTTCGATCTGAGTCTGCGAATGAAATGGAGGTGGACCGGGCGGTGGCGGTTGGCTGTGCGCAGTAGCTAAGAGCTGGATGATCACCAGCAGTCTAAGATGCAGCTGCAATGTACAGGTCGCACGAGCTCCTCCTTAACGATGTTGAATATAGACCGGGTCGACAAGTGGTGGCTTTGGTTGTGGCACGGTACGACCAATGTTTGTTTGTGCATGATGTCACCATCCCTGGCGGTCTTCGTATTCTGGCCGGGAGCGGGCGACAGACTGGTGGTACAGCCCACGTCCTTTCATTTGCGACGGTCTGCAAACAAAGAATCCAGGAAGTTTCACCCCGTGTCTACCGTCATTCGTACTGAACATGTTGTTCGAAGCTATCGAAATGGAGCGAAATGGAATCGAAGCGGTTCGAAAGGCCCAACCTGACGGGTGATAATCCTATGCATGCACCTTTTGCGGTAGAACTAAAGTCACAATAGCAACGACTCCACTCGACCAGTTACCTGTTTCACAATCCCCCCGGAAGGGAACCCATTGGACGGGCCCGACAGCCTGAAGAGGACTGACGTGTTGATGCTCGACTTAGTCTTTTTTCCTAGGGTTCTGGATGTCGACCCAGCCAATCATGGCCATCAGAGGAAGATGATCTGCCCGTGGCGAACCCTGGAATTGCCTGGTCCATCTGGGTCATCTTCTTCCTCTGCTCATGTCGGGTTCGCATCCCGCCAGATACAACGGTCTAGTCGCATCCATGTCCCTCCATGTCCATCCTGCCCATTCGCTCCTTCTTAAAGACTGCCGCCCGCTTTTTGCCCCCCTTCACGGCCCCTGTCGCTCGAGGTACATGACCTCCGTCTCGTTCGTCGCGCTCCCCATATAACGAGGATGCCTCCCAACAGTGTCTGGGCGCTCGGTCTACTCTACTGCGCATCCATCCTATAACCCGGCTTGGTATGTGATCGTGCTTTCTGATCTTCGGCGTATTCCAAGCACCTGCTAATCGATCACCATAAAACCCAGCCACGACTCAGTCACCATCGACTCGACATCTTTTCGGTTTTCTCTCCGCGAAATGCCCCTTCTGGTCCCTTCCTGTCTCTACGATCAACCATGTCCGCCGAAATAATCCACCCTCCCAGCACCGAGAGCTTCCCCTTTCCCGACACCGCACCATCCAGCTCTCTCGCCTCGTTGCCTACCATTGCGCTGACCCCGGGATTCTTCTCGCTACCTTCGCTCGCAAACGAATCCTGGCCACCATCAAACGGCCTCCCAACACCTCCTCCTCTGCCTTCATGGGCCGTCAAACCCGACCCGGACGATCGGCAACTCTGCATCGACCCAGTCCTTCAACCCGACTACCATCTAAAGCAACAATCCCAGAGGACCCAACGTCCCCGAAAAGCCTCCACCACCTCCTCCGCCTCCTCAGACATCTCCTCCACCACGCACCCTCTAAACAGCAAACGCGAACAATTCCTCGCCCGCAACCGCCTCGCAGCCAGCAAATGTCGCCAAAAGAAGCGCAAACACAACAAAGAGCTCGAAAGCCAATACGAGGCGGTCGCGCGACGAAAGAAGCAGCTCCAGACCGAAGCAGACTATCTGCGAAGCCAGATGTTACAGCTAAAAGATGAATTACTGCGCCATTCTCAGTGCAACGATTCCTCGATTAAGGGACATCTAGCGCAGATGGTGAACCAGGTCACGAGGAAGAGTCCGACGTTTATTGATATTAATAGTCTGTTGACGACGGAGAGTAGTCCGTCGCAGCGGGAGGCGAGTGGGAATAGTTCTACCACTACCCCTCCTCCTGGAGCTCCTGCTGGTATCACAGCGGATAGTCCGTTGCTGCAGGAGGTGTTGGAAAGAGAGCGTCGACAGTCCGAACGGTGGGGTCTTCCTTCTAGCTACGCAGGCAGTGGACCTGGACAGAGAGCGGAGGATACTTTTGATGATTTGATTAATTTCGGTTGAGCTGATATTGATTCTGCGCGTCTCTACTTATTTACTCTGTGGTTTTCATGGAGTTGGGGTCGGAGTTTCTTTCCGGTTGTTACATGCAAGCTTAAGGTACCTTGGGATTCTACGTCGATTTGCCTTTTTTTCTTGCTCATCTCTTTGCGTTTTCGTTTGTTTTCTGAACCATCCACGAATGTACACGAATTGAACGTGCGCGATTGAATCTTGGTCTTTGTATTTTACCAGTCACTAATCCGACGACATCTCTTCTTTTCCACTTCAAATCCCGATCTATCGACCAACCCGACCAACCCGACCAACCCTTGCCTGAAAGCATTCCCCGGTCTTTTCTCTTCTCTTCTTCCTTTTGGTGGCTTATAATGAACAAACAGCTAGCTAGGTTGACCGGGTGAGACGGGATGTACATAAACCACCATAGCCTGGTTCATAGGCATTCTACCTAGTTCATGGCCTGGTTTACATATCTGAAAAGAAATATTATTTTGAAGATAACATGATCGTGAACATCTCCTGTGGCCCATTTCGCTGAATTAGATACCATATGACCGCCGTGATGATCAGAAACGACCATGGAGGAGGATGGCAGGGGAGGGGGAAGGATAGGCAAGTGGCACCTTAGGCATCTAAAATGAGAATGCCCAATCCAGAAGAAATACATAGCAGACAGCAAACCACCCGAGTAGATAATATCCAGCGGTATTGCAGGATTACTGTTGGTATGCTTTGTGTGAAATCTGCGAATAGCCTCAGGACTTCCACTTTCGGCAGAGGCGTTTCCATTCTAGAGTAGATTTCGAGTGAACTGTTTGACGAAACATCATGCTAGAAGTGGATGTAGATTGGTAGATGGCTACGTTCCTAACAGTCATAGCGTGCCTAGAGCCCTGGTGACATCTCTCAGAATGCCCCAATACAATCGAGCAAACGAAGATCATATGAAAAGACAACCGGTAAACCCTCGACCTTTGACAGCACACGGAAGTAATATCCGGGGAGAAGGGAAGAGGTTAAGGTGTCCCGGTGAGTATAGGCATGAGTCTCGTGACTGCAGCCGGCGCTGGCCTAACCCCATGGACGTGATCTCGTCTCAACCCGCCTCGCTATGCACGACACCAGCGAATCCTACACAGGAGGTCAAAGGACCAGGTTTCGACGGGTCTGGCGCGGTAGGTGGGGTCTCGGAGTCTTGTGTAACTCTATTCGTCACTGAAGTCAATACAACCACCGTTGTTTACGTTTACTTCCTTCATCGTCGAAGCTGCCCCGTTCCCCCAGTGCAATCCACCTTGCTCAAAGATCCAATGTCATGAATGATCTACTTACTCCCAGGTGAGAAAGGGAGCGTGAGATCTGTGAGAATCTCCAACTCCAGCTAATAACCGACCATATCTCCTGCAGCAAGATACGCGCCGTCGACAAAAGGCGTCCAAACGAACCGACAAAGTCTTACGAAGTTGGCACAACAACCATTAAACCACGGACGGATTCTCAAACCAGCATAGAGCACGAAGATTAGAGGAGATCGAGCGCACATCCAACTTCTTCCAATTGATACTGTGGTTGTTGTTCCGAAGGTTGAATGCGAGCCGAGCTCTAGTCGGTTTGTGGAACCTGAGTCGCGCCAGCCGGACACCCGCGAGATGGGGTTCCCCTTCGCCGTGAGAAGGTCATTCGATCCCTGAACTCTGAAGGCTGTTCCTGACGAGATTGGAGAGAAGGTTGATAACGTGGAGCCAACCAAGGATTATGGTGATACTGAAGGAATGGGGGATCGTGCTCCGAGGTCTTATTACATGCTTGAATGGACGATCGCTGACTCGGTAGTGCTTTGCGCTTTACGAATGAGTTGTTTCAATCAAGGAGACCTGCAAGAGCATACCTGCAACGCGCCTTAATGCACTGCGTCGACTATCAGATCGACTGGCCGGCACCTCAGGATAGGAGGGATGTGGAAGATGAAGGGAATGTTCTCGCAGATAATACGACAGCGATCAATGTGTATCGTCAAGGTTGGCATCGATTTTCTTTTAATTAACACTTCCTTGTGGTTGCCAGGAATACGGTGCTAACATTCATCTTTTCTTCCCTAGGCAATATAAATGAGCCAGCCTTCGTACCCCGTGAGCCGAATTCCAGTCAATGCATCTTCGTTATTGGCCATTCGATACGATGACCCTCCTCTTCCCGATAAAAAAACCGTCCTGGATAGCGTCCCCTAAAACTATAATCGACGATAACTGAGACCTCGCAAGGACTTTGACTCGTCGAGCGCCATCGGAAGATTAGGTGGGCGCGCTATAAACCGAGAACATCCCAACAACGCTTAGCGCGTCCCAGTACATTTCAGGTTTATAAAGGAAGTCCCGGGAGGTTGAACCATGGCTATGCTACCTCGACCGATATCCCGGGTTGTTCGATGATCATCTCCAGAAAGTCCGGCATTACATTGGGGTACTAACAACTTACACCCCCGACTACACCCAAACATTGCTCTGTGTCTGTGGCATCAAATCAAGAAGTTGATATGTCATGCGCACGACAGTGAAGAGGTCCGCCGATCCGTCATCCAAAATATAATCGATCCACATTTGACCCTCTTGTTGTACCTGCGACGTTGGGCCCAGACAGTTCCACAGCTGCAGAATTGGCTCCAACATGTCCATCAGCCGATGTGCGGCAATATCACCGCGGCTGCAGAACCGCAGAACAGTGAGACATGTATGCACATGGGCGGGAAGATCAGGGAAGGTATTGCTGCTGTCTGCGAGGTATCTTTGACAAATTCCGAGCAGGAGCACGATACAAGCTTCGAAGACGGCACATCTAGCATCTATGTTAGATATTACTTACCATCCTCTGAGCAGGGTATATTCAAGGTAGTCACGCACACAACCAGCCAACGCGTCATTATCACTTCTTGGCCATACAACAGAGAGGCTATGCGAGCCAGCTGCATGGCGAAGTCTGTGTAGGTGTTACATATGTGTCGGGGTATTTGGCTAAAGAGTCTTTCCAGCAGGTAGGCACTCTGTTGCGGTCTGAACTATCCTTGGCAATCCTGGAAAGCTTTCAATAGCCGAGAATAGAGCTGCAAGCGGGAGTCTATATACAACATGTGCATCAGGTATAAGACCCTCTCTTGATAAATAGTCAACGTTCGGTTCGGGCTACTGAGTGCTGCGAGATGCAGATCCGGCGGAAGGGCCTGGTGCTATTGGTCGAGTTGAACTGCGAGCCTCTCTGAGTGGCTCTAGAAACTGCCATCCTGGCATTGGGCCATCTCGGTTTAGATCCCTGAGGCCACGAGAACTAGCCTGTTCATATAGGACTGTATGAGCCGTGTTAATAAGGCCTCGCTGTTGGAGTCCATATCCAAAGTTCTTGTGTAGTGGACCTGAAGCTCAAGTCAGCATGGAGATTTTGTTATTATCTTTGATACTTAGACGGCTAACTAGATCAGTTTCATTCTGTCTCAAACAATTCCGATACCCTAGCAAGAACGAAAGCCACCTAGTACCGTTATCAGTATCCCCTGGATAACCTGCCTCTTCTGCTAGCATACCCTTCAAGAAATATCAATGTTTGGAGGGTCCGTCGGTATTCGTCATCACCGGTCACATGCGACGTAGCGCTCTGTAATGTGGCGTCCATATCCGCTTTCACCAGATTCAACGCAGACACTGCGAAGACTTAGTCGGGATATTCCTCAGCCAAGATCGAAGGCTTACTTATCAACATCCTCGCATTCGAGCTTTTGTCCATAATACAACCCATACAGAGCAAGATAGATATCCGCACCCCTTGAATATGACTTGCTTCGAACGCCTCATTCAGACTGGCAGAGGCGAGATAGAAGAACGCCGCCCGCGCTTCATCGCAGATCTCATCGATCTTATAATGACTCCCGATCGCAGCACACGCGGCAACCTCGCAGACGTCCTGCGCCGTTGCATCATTGCTATGATACACTTTATCAAGTAGCTGGCTCGATTTGCTTTCCGTCGTCACATAGAACAAAGTCGCCGCACACTGGAAGAATGCAGAAACCGCGCGTCGCGTAATCTGCTCGTCAGGAAGTCTATCGCGTCTGCTCTCGTAAGTCTGTCCGTACTGGATCTGTCGACCCAACGGGCCCACTAGTGGATGAGAAGCAGTGGCAGCGTAGAAGAGACGCTGTAAGCCTTGATCGTCGGGGGGCGTGCTCTGTTGCGTGCTCTGGTAAGTCCGGAATGAGAAACTTCCAGATTCCGCTGAATTGTTATTGTTTCTTGGAGTGTGACCCTCACTCTGACTTTGAGTTTGATCCGAATACTGGCCTTGAGCCTGCCCGATTGCCGTTCCGCCAGGCCGGAGCAAACCCCGTTGCTCAATGATTTGTTCCAGATAGGCGTTTCTTTGCTCCAGCGCCTCGAGCCGTGCTTTCCAGTGTTCTTTTTTTCGCCCGTCAACGCCAGAGTATTTACATTCGATATTAAGCCCTTGACAACTTAAACAGGGCCTCAAGCCGTCGCACTAACCACGAAAAATCAAATAGTTAGAGAAGTTCTGAACTTATTCAGTTGAAACGAAATAAAAAAAGAAGCAATGAAATACCCGTTTCCGCAACCCCCGACATTTGTCACATGCTCTTGCGACTTTCGGGGTTTTCTTCAGAGTCCTAGGGGGTGGGCGTGGCAGGCCACGCTTCTGAGCAAGCGGTTGTAGTCTGTCCATCACATCTCATGGTTGTAGATGCGTGTGAAAGAGTCGACACGATGAGATGTGAGATGAAAAAAGCATCTTTTATCAAAGTGGGGCGCCGTTATCAGGGGAAGCCATTAAATCATGGTGAATAATCCCCGTCTAGTTCCTTGACCTGCCATGAGCAGGTTCCAGGAGGCGAACGAAGCATAGGAACCATGGACTGGAGCTTCCACCATCCGGTCTTGTTTCCAACCTGCCTTGTATTCGGTGTTCCGCGGGTTCCAGTCTTTGATCCGGGTGATTATTGATCATTGAGCTAATTAGCATGATATTCCAAACTATGCTATGTATATTACAAAGACAGCTCAAACCACAAGCGCAATAGGATACTCAGCGTAGACATCGGTGTGTGAACCCTCCTGCGCCTGCACCTGTTCCTGAACGTGAGAAGAAGTCTCAAGGGCTCTACGATAAACAACCGCCGATCGCTGATCATCCAAAATCGACAGCGGAACGCAATCAACCAACCCCAGCCCCAAAACAAGAGGCGGATCATTTGGCACGAAGCACCGAACCGTCGCGACGGCAGTAGACATCGTCGCATGCCAATCTGCCATCTCGAGGAGCGAGCATCGCACGGCCGTCTCATGCAGCGGCTCTCCGGGGCTCACGAGCGCACCACTATCATTGCTCCGCAGGGGCACCAGGGCATGGCTGTCTTTCGGGAAATGGAACAGGTCTGGGGAGGTGGCGAAGACTTTGTGCGAGATGCTAACGGCAGCGCTATGTTGTGGATGATGGAATCTGCCTTTCAACCCGATAGAAATAATCTGGACACCGATGCGACTGAGATCGTGGAAGATGGACGGTAGATCCACCTCTGGGGTTGTGATAGAGATACTGTGGGTGTCCATGTTCACGGACAGGTATGCCTAGACGTCGAATGGAGCGGAGCTGTTAGCCAACAAATCCGCAAGACACAGGTATCATGTCAGTGAAATTGCTTACCTCTTTATACCTCGCCAAAATCGCCATCACCCTCCTCCGATCCGACCCCGACGTCCACCGCACCGTTAGAGAGATCATCCCAGCGGGCAGCACACCACATTGATTCTCCAAATCCACCATCGCCCCAATACACAACGCCAACCTTAACGCAACAGCCACATGCTTCCCAATCGCCACCGTATCCCTCGAACAAGAAAGCGCACTCGCAGTAAGAAACCCCGTACAAAGACCCTGAAACCCACCATGCTTAACATCCCCCACCACCTGGGAATGATCGACACCTTCACGGGCAAGATAATTCAAATATTCCAAAACCTGCAGCACGACAGTCAAGGGACCAAGATGCATATTCGACAATAAAGGTTTCAAGTTCCCCACGGTGTCGGTATCACCGGTTATCCATCCTTTCATGTCTCGAAGGATCCCTGCGCCCGGGATTTCGCGTAAGGGCGGATATTCTTTGACCAGGGTTTTCCAAATTTCGGGGAGTTCTGCGATGGCAGTATCGATTGTTTGGAGTGTTGAGGCATGGTGGATGTTTTGTCGTAGATGAGCGAAGTATTCCTGTGGAGGGAGGATTGTGGTCTGGGGACCGCAGACGAAGATGGATGGGGTTTCTGATGGCATTTTGAGAACGGTTTATGCGGACTTCAAGGAATGAGGTTGAGCTTTGGAAACTTGACACCAATCTTGAAGCCTTTCTCTTCCTTCCAGAGAGAGAGGAATATGGAATGATAGTTCTCTTTCGCCAAGGGAGTTATACCTGAGTCGGTCAAAGATAAATGTTCCGACAATTATAGAAAGCACGTTCCGCGAACTATCTTTTTATTCAGAAGAAAATGCCTCATCGTCATTAAAACAGGGATGGATGACGAGGACAAATAACAGATCCACCAAAGCAAGGCATACATGTCGACAATGCTTACTTTTGATTGTAACACAGGTAAGATAATTAAGACAGGCAGGGGCAGACACCTTGCATAACCCCATCAAAAATAGCGAATAGAATAGCAAGATAATCAAGACAATCCATTTCCAGGTCCGCCAACCCACATGTCAAATGGATCCATCATGTGGCCACAGTAGATTAAATCGCTCATTTTGTGCTCGTGCCCGTAAGGACGCGCGAGGCTTGGGGTTATACTCTGAACGACAGAATTGCTCGACACAGCTGGTCTGCGAGTCCGGCGGCGAACTCCGAGAGGTTTGCATGAGGGGTGGATTATTTAGGTATGATTTTCATTTTGTGTCTCTGCATAAAGGGTGGGAATATGCATCGGCTCTCTCCGAATCCTTTCTAACGCCACCCAGCCATGCTCAGGAGAGGAAAAGGGCAAGACAAGACACCGAAACCCCATACTACAGTGGAATGATTTAAAAAACAGAATATAACCCTCCGTCTAAATCAACCCAGAGCAAACACATACGCAATAATGTGGCTGGGTGTCTGCAGCATACATCGGTGGCGCCGATCCCGCTGTTTCCCTTGCATCAAGGCATCGAGGGTGGCGGTGAGGAGATATACGTACTAGGCTATTCAGTATCTAGGGAGTAGCATGCGTGTTTTTGGGGATTTACTTCATGAAAGGGAACGTGTCTGATTCTGACAACAGGGGTTCTGTAAGTATGTGCGAGGAGCAATTGTATTGTAATGCGGTCAACATATCCGATAGATCTAGGCGCTTCGCCGGCTAAAGCAGAAGCTCGTGTCCCCACCATCCCACAAATGCTCGTATATGATGGACGAGGCTTTTGTGTTCTTCATTCATTTCTTGTGCTTTATTCTAGCAGCACGAATCTAAGATATACAAATAAAATATAGAAAATTAACATTAAGTCCACTACCTCCCTTGTCCCTACTCAATTTACGGAGTCGTTGTCGGGGTAAGAACCCCGACTTCCCCTATGATATGGCATAGAGTTTGAAGTATCTTCCGCAGGCCCTGGTCGGAGTAGTATGTGACAGCGGAGAACTGGTATCATCAGCTAAAGTACTTTCGAACAAAATAGCTATCGTACCTCTCCGTCCGCTCTGAGGCGGAGGAACTCATATTTCCTCGCATTTGAGGAAATGCCCCAGATTGTTCTGGGGCCGCGGCCAGTCTTTTCTTGTAGGTAATGGACTATCGCTAAGAGTCGAGTAAGCCAACCGAACATGAGAAGGATAAGAGATAGGGACATACCCATAAAACACAGAAGATCGCTTGAGCCATCAAAGTTGGCCGTTTAGCCTCTATAAGAAGCACCCATATCCTGCCGATAACCTCCATACCATATCGCATAGTCTACCAGTCCTGATAGAGTATATTCTTTCTTCTTCGCTTTCTATATGTGATTGAGGCTACACTCTACGTGTAGGTTTACATCATCTGAATCGACAATGGCGAGTACCGCCAAGAGAACCGCATTCATACGGATTCCAACTGCCCCTTCTTGATTGATTTGTTTGTGTTTTCTGAGCAAGGGAGTAAGCCCGAATAGCTTTGGGATAGATTTTGTCCCGAGAGAGGCGACTGCCATGCTGGGAGGCTTTTCAAGTGCCACTTCCCTTCTGATGGCTTGTCGAGCCCGTCGAAACGCCTTCTTTGCCTGTTGTTCTTCTTCCGGTCACGTACTATCTCGTCCACTTCGGCCTCAAGCCGGTTGAGTCATTCTAGGACTATACGCGATGGGATGTTAGTATGGTCCTGATTACGGAAGCTTTAGGGGCGACTCAAACATGGAACGAGAGCTTGCCGCTACAGGGAGAGATACCACAGAGACGGCCACCCATGTTTACGGGTTTGGAGTTGCATAAATGTAGATGCTGCTGGTAGTTGAGAAGATCTGTAGATGGTAGGCTTACGGACCAGCTTCATCCAGCAAGAAGTGGGATCACGCCGTACGGCACGACTTCCGGTGAATTATGAAGCTACAACCAGGTGAATTACTATGGAGATCATCTGCGATGACATCGATACGTATCCGTCACTATGACTGAGGTACATTCGCTCGTCTATCCAAGATCCTATGTTCCCTGATGGGAATGTGAATTGATTCTTGATCAGTATTTTTCGCGCCATAGGGGTGGCGCTGTTAGTATTTTCCGAAGCTTGAAATCAATGTCAGCTCGTACTTGGAAGTAGTTAGTTGTGGAGATGATGTGATATAGTAATAGAGAAAGCCACAAGGGGGAAAAAGCTCTAATAACTGATCACGCTATGGGAGAGTCCTACCAAGTTATAACTCTTTCAATGCCATCACTATGTTGACCGGTGTCTATCTTCTTCCGCTACAAGCTTGCGTAATTAGAGTGTAGCTACATCAAGGAAATGTAAGCAGTGAAATAGAAATTCTTTGCTCGTCATCTTTGTTTCGCATAAATCCTGAATGCATGCAATACACATGTTTTTATTTAAAATTATCATGCTGAATGTACCTACATTACTTCAAAATCAAACCTTTTAGATAATTACATCATAAGATTCCAGTTCCTACACCCCATCTACATACTACGAAAGATTCATATTATTAAATAAACCTATGGGTCAACTAGCAAGATATTTGAAAAAAAAAACAAATCACACGATCAATCCTCCTGAACAATAGCCCCCAAACTATCAATATCCGCATCCGCCGCTCCATCAAACCCATAAAGCACTCCCGTACCAATAGTCTGTCTACCCGGATATCCACCAGGACCACCAGCGAAGAAATTATTTCCCTGCGTAGTACTGAATTCAAGGGCATCCGCCCGTCCAGGGGGATCATTATACGCGCCGTGAATCACCATCTCATCAATATCCTCGCCGTCATTGAATACAAAATGTCTTTGCTGGAGATAATCTTCTTGGTGACCCACGTGACGATAGACTCCGTCGTCCCAGCCCAGCTGGAGGCCCTTGAGGACGGTGAAGTCGGCGCCGTCTTCTGGGCCCCACCAGGCGGAAATAGAGCGCACTTTTTGGTTGTTATGGGAGAGTTGGTCACCCCATGGGGTGCCGCCGATGCCGCCGATGGGTTGGTTGTGAAATGCGTCGTCGGACATTGTTGTGGGTGGAGGTTCAGGTTCTTCTCAATGCTAATTATTTTATGTCTTTTAGACTGAGGATGGATTGAATTGAACTTGTAACTTGTAGGCGAGCTATGCATGGGAGACGAGATGTATTTATATTTTTTTCTTGGACTCGCTAGCTCAATCCATTCTTACAACCATCAGTGTAGAAGATGCTACAGGTGACTTTACTCCGAGGAGATCCAAACAGCTGATGTCAAGATTCATCAAAAGTCGATCAGGGTTTCTCAAGGTGGGCCTGGCTCGTTGTTCGGCTCTTTATCCGTCATGCATCTGTCAAACTTTATTTCGACACTTTGTCCGCTTGCGGAAATCCATATCGCACAATTACACTTGCCATTGTATTGTTTTCATGGGTTGACAATTCATTGTGGCGAGTAAATGTGATTAAACCCATGGTCCATAGAAAACAACATAGTTTCTTCTCGCAGATAGCGCGTCAGGTTAATTTACCGCATGCGGCAAGGCTCAGCAGCAAGATTCGATAAAACCTGAAGTAGTTAAAGCAGGAAGTCCGTTTGCGGCGAGTTATAAGTCAAATGTTATTTCTACATAGAGTTGAGTAATGAGAGGACAGATATCCGGCGTCGTCCGATTCGCGCCACACGGATCAAGATACCGATGAACCAAACCTAGTTCGATTTATCACCAATTGGTCTTTAGTGGAGTTGTGGAGATACTTATGTTACCATCATTCCGAATCTTGCAACACAAAGAAAAGATTTCCCGTGACGAAGGACGGACATCGATAGAAGCTCTGGTCGATCTCCCGGGGAACCAACCATGGTAACGCGTGTCTCGAAAGGCCACACCAAGCTATACAAAAGTGGGCATTATGTTACAGCAGCTAATCAACAAACTCAGCTTGTCCATATAATCCACCTCCCTGTCTGCAAGATCATCCTGAACCCAGATGCTCTTGATCAATTCCTTGACTAGGAAAAGAGACCTTGACGACGTAGAGTCCTCGGTTCTATCAATGAGATCGAGCACTTTGCCCCGTTCGTCATCCGTGCGCGCTTCGCAGCCAATGACGAACAAAGGGAACTGGCGTTCGCAGGTATTAAGGTCGGAGAGCATGGCAAGAGCATGACGAATGCGTTGTTCTGTCATGTATGGAGGTTCAAAAAGGTTTCCAGTCGCTCTGCTGAGATAAATAAGCATGGATAATTGAAATAATTCGGTCATTTTAGGAAGTTTTGGATTGATGGTATTTTCATCTTCCGGGATGTTGTTTATCCTCCACGCTAGGATCTGAGCGTTCGCGATATACTGACTCAGCTGCTCGGCTGGGGCCGTCTGTAATGGCCTCACGGCAACGATATCGCAGACTTCTGAGAGCAGCTGAACCGTTGTACCGAAACTGGAGGCAGTCGAAGGTATAGCCTACCGAATCTGTTAGGAAAAACCTCTCGAGATCTTAGATTGTCTACATACCCTTCTCCAAGGATACTCCGATGAGCATGGAGGGGGAATATCCATGTCCTTTTCGGAACGCCAATGCAGCCCGCTGAATCGCGACAAAACGTCATGATAGTATACCCAGTCCAGCAGGATATTCAAGTCACTATCCCTGTCCGATATACCCGAACACGATGCATTTATAAACATCTTAACACCTCCCACGTAACATCGCCATTGGCCTGAAGTGCACGATGCCCGAAGAATCTGTCATACAAAATTCAACACACATTCATTCCAATCATCAAGGTGCCGCGGAGAGCCTTACTTCGAACGAGCATAGAAGCATGCCAGCAGCAACATGCTGAGCTGTTTCCATGGGACCAATACTAGTCCTCGATGCAGTGGCGAGCGCGTTCAGTGCAGAGAGTTTAAGCTCACCAGCCTGGCCTTGCAGGCCATGCAGATGTAATGATGAAAGGGCAAGAAGGGAGCGAAGGACTGCGGCAGAAGACGGGCTGCTGTTTGCCAAGGCCATCCGAATCAACAGGTTTCCCATGCTTGTGGGGTCATGGCCGAAGGTGGTTAATGAGCGAGACGCAGTGCATCGAACTAGCTACTAGATCAGTACTCCATTTCCTGTGGATAACTATGGAGGGTGCTAACAGTAGTCAAACAGATAGGTATTCTTGACATCCAACTGGAACGGGTTGAATGGCACTGGTGCCTGCAACACAAGCTTCGTGTATTCTAACAAGTATCAATCGCTTCTTAGCGCTCATATCTATCAGAGGAATATTTCAGGCGGCGTACTGTCTGAAACCAGTCCCAGTAGATGATAATGCATCTTAATATCCCAGGATGACGCATTAATTAAGGCGGTGTTGGAGATACGACGAGCGATATTTCTAGTCCGCGGTGGCTTTCCAATCATTGCGCGCTTGCGATCATTCACGTTCGGCCAAGACACACGAAGGCCGTAACCCTTGCAAGTCCGACCAGACTTGGAGCATTGTCCGCATGTCGGAATGGTTCTATCACAGAGGATTCGACGATCTAGACGCGATCATTAGCTGATGGACCCACGTGCACCGAACTCAGTGAGCTGCCATTACCCCTGCACGTTCCACAACCTCTCTGCGGCATTTTCTTCTGCTCAAACAGGGTATCTGCCGTGAACAACGTCTGAAGAGATAGATGATCAGGCTAGTAGCTACGTGGAAAGAATCGCAGCCTTGTCCAACAGCATTAATAATCGCGCGATGTCAGCCTTGGCATCACCCTTTGATTGGAGAGACCCACCAATCTCATAGACGGCCAATGGAAAAAGGGATTAAAGTTTAGTAGCTGCAGGTCAGTGGGTCGGCGAGAAAAGAGTCAAGTATTCGCGAAGCTAGATATAGAACTCTTTATATGACAGTGTCTCATGGTGATAGACGCGATTTGAAATCAATTTGATCTGTCAGCTGTCGAATCGATCATGTTCCACGGGCATCGTCGTTGTCGTTGAATCCTCTTGTGATCATCTATAAAAGGGTACCCAAACCTTCGCTAAAGGTGAGTTCCACAGACATCTCTATACAACAGGAAAACCCCATAGAATCAACTAGCATCACGTGGAAATCAAGATAAAACAACCTGCTTCGACCTTAGATCGTTGGTTATCTTCGTCAAGATCTCAATCAATTTCTCTATATTCTTTAAACAACCTCGTCTTTCACCACGCTATTCTCGAAGACAATCTTCAACATGCCTTCCTACGTCATTACTGGAGCCTCAAGAGGCATTGGTGCAAGTTTTATCCCATACCTTCATTCATTTCGTGTTGTGTTAACCCGCCATACAGTGGGAATTCATTCGCCAGCTGTCCAGCGATCCAAGCAATGTCGTTATCGGTATCGCTCGGGATCAAGCTGCTACTGAACAGAGAGTGTCACAAGAGCTGCCCGGCAGATCCAATCTTCATATTCTGAAGGGAGACCTTCTCGATTATTCGTCACTGCAGGTGTGCTATACATCCTGGCCTGATACCTTGTCCATGAGCTAATATACCTCACTAGAGTGCTTCTCACGAGACGGCTAAGATCACTGGCGGAGGACTAGACTATCTGATTGCCAATGGTGCCCTCTTGTCACAGTTTGACACTTACGACCCGATCGGAGTTTTGTGAGACCCCTTCTCTGGTTCGGTGATTTGCCCTGACAAACAATAACCGTGTAATCAAACAGGGGCCAACAACCCGAAGCCTTTGAGGAAAATCTACTGGATTACTTCAAAACCAACGTCGTCGGAAACATCCACCTCCTCAACCTTTTCACCCCTCTGATCCTCAAGGGCCATACCAAAAAGGTCATCGCTATATCAAGCGGCCATGCTGACCTGGACCTTGTCACAAAGTTCAACGTTGATCTGGCTACCTCCTATATGATCAGCAAGGCAGCTATGAATGCGGCAGTGGCCAAGTTCAGCGCGCAGTACGCGAAGGACGGGGTGCTGTTTATGAGTATTTGTCCCGGAATGGTGGATACGGGACATTTTGAAAAGGGTATGTTCTTATCTTTATACAATTAGACAATATGCAGAGCTAACACACCACAGCAACCGAAGAGCAAAAGCCAGCGCTACAGAGAATGCTCGCCTCTTTCCAAGCCTTCGCGCCTTATTTCAAGGGTCCCGCTAGTCCCGAGGAGTCTGTCAAAGACGTTCTGTCCGTGATCAACAATGCTAGCGTCGAACGAGGATATGGTGGATCGTTTATCTCTCACTTCGGAAACAAGCAGTGGATTTAAGAGGAAACGGGTTTTGGATGCGGTTCAACACGCTCTTTTGCCATCTGTCAATTTTCAACAATCGACTGCTTATTAGCTTCTTCAACTTTGTAATTAGAGTCGGTATGGACAGATAAAGCGATAATTGATGGGTCACTATCTTTACCGTCGTTTGTTGTTTCCTTAGATCTGAAAAATATATCTCACAACGGCGGGCAAAGCAAAAGAGAAATCAGCCTCTCAGTCAACATATTACGACAGCGTGCCACCTCCAGGAAGCTAAAACAAATTATTTTGAAATATACGTACGGAAGACATACCTAGATAAAGCTGAGCAAAGCGATTACTTGAAAATTGGATAAATTTTAAAAGGCGTTGTTACGGCTCTACAGACAGACATTTCCTCGATTTCTTAGGGTTTCCTCTCTTGAACACCAAAGTGAGTCATCTTGCACCTCTTATACCTCACTTTCACTTCAAATACCACAGTTTCGACGTCATTTTCTTTCACTCGGGTTATAACTAAACTCCAGAGTATACTCCAGCGCCAAGCCTCCTGTACGATCGGTATCACGTGAGTGGCTGCATATCGCCTGCCCGCTTCTTACCAGGGAGACGCGCTTCCTGTTCATCAACTACGCGACATGTCATGGTACTCTGAGAATCCACGGAGTCACTTGATCACCCCACATCATCAATAATGACTCGACCGTCAATTCGCGCTTTCCAATTTCTTTGGCGCCCCCAGAACATCAAAACGCGGTCTCTGCGGCTAAACTCCACAATGACCCAGAACCCTCGCATCGAGTATAATTGGATCAAGGGGGTGGAGACACTTGAAGAATACCGACCGGGGGGTTATCATCCTATCATGATCGGGGACCTACTCCATAACCGATATCGCATTGCCGATGAACTCGGCTCCGGGGGCTATTCAACCGTTTGGCTTGCCCGTGACACTCAACTTAATCAATACGTCGCTCTGAAGGTCAATGTATCGGACTCGCAGCCGCGTGAGACGCGTGTTCTCAAGGGGCTATCTGCCTCGATATCCTCGTCTATACACCCTGGGCGTAGTTCGGTGCCCATTTTGCGCGATGAATTCCACGTCGAGGGTCCAAACGGAACACATACTTGTTACACAATGACCCCTGCACAAAGCAATCTCAGGCAAATTTCATTTAGCCGTCTGTTCCCTCTCGATGTTGCTCGCGCCCTAGCATATGGAGTTACGCAGGCCGTCGCGTACACTCACTCACAGGGCTATGTCCATGGAGGTTTGTGACAGCAGTCCGAACCTTGTATACGAGTTGACTAGACCCATTTAGACATTCATTTGAGCAACGTTCTGGTCAAACTCCCGTCAACGTTCGATGGCTTGTCAATTGAGCAACTATATAAACAGTATGGCGACCCCGAAACAATTACCGTCTCACGATGTGACGGCGAACCCCTACCGACGAACGTCCCGACTCGGGTCGTCGTGCCGTTATTCCTGGGCAAATATGCAGAGAAGTTCGTACTATCTGACGCCCAGCCTCTGTTAAGTGATTTCGGCGAGGCCTTTTCCCCGGCGACAGAGATTCGCCTAGGGCAAGATTGCCACACGCCTCCCGCCTTTCGAGCTCCGGAAGCCAAATTCGAGCCTCAGGTTCCGCTGACATACGCGTCGGATATATGGAGTCTGGCTACGGCAATCTGGGAGATAATCGGAATGAAGGCAATCTTTAGCACTGAGTATGTACCGAGTGATGAAATAATAGCTCAACATGTGGACGTACTTGGACCGATGCCTTCTGACTGGTGGCATCGCTGGGAAGAAAGGTCTGTGTTTTTCGATGAGCACGGTTGTACAACGGAGTCTTACAAGGAGAATCAATGGCCGTCACTTGAGGAGTCATTCGAGGTCTGTGTACAGAAATGGAGACGGAAAGTAGGAGGGGAAGTCGCAGCAGCTGAGAAAGATGCGTTCCTGGAACTCATGCGCCAGATGCTATTGTTCCGACCGGGAGAGCGACCGACGGCAGAAGAAGTACTGCAGTCGGAGTGGATGGTCAAATGGGCAAAAGCTGACTACGACCGGCGGTAGAGTTAACGCGCCGCGGAGATCTCATTTTGCGCCATATGCCTGAACATCCAATCGATCACGGCACAGTCACGGCGCACATGAAATGAATTTTTCTGTTATTGATTGAGCGGCGCTCTTGGAACAAGTCGTGCACCCGGGATATCTCGATGATATTCATAGAAATGCAAGATAGACCCATGGAACAAAACTGCCCAACACCTCCCGAATTCAGTCTTTGCATGGCCAAAGGTATTCTCAAATTGCTCTAACGTCTCCAATAAGTAGCCACCTTCACATTTCGCTCCGGCAACTGTGTGGTCGATAATGATTCGGGATTGGGGAGCTAAGCGCTGAACTCTGAGGGCCATATTATCAGTAGATTGGTTGATTTGGAACTTGACGGGCGCAACTAAGTAGCCGTTCGCTGGTCGGAAGTAGTAAATAAGAAGTCCGAAGGATAAGGCCTTCACGGCACTGCTGTCAATAGGTTCCAGCTCGACGGATTTGATCATCGCGTCAAGGATGGGTACGGAGAGGTATAGTGCCATGGCGGGTGCTGTAAAAATGTAATTGTCAAGATATGTTGTGTGAGAATGAGTTTCCGTTTGGCTCTAATGGGGCCCAGCATCTTCATGGAAATCAAGGCACAATAAATTTACATATTGAGATCTTTAACAGGCAGAGCATTATCCGATATAAACTTCCGGCGAGCATTGCGGGCCTTATTCGGGTCCACGAAGATTCTTTTCAAATGACTCAGGATCTCACCAAAGTCCCGATAGTCCTGAATCTTAAGACGCGGGTATATATGCCGACGTGCATCCCCTTCACAGCGACTAGTCACATAGGCAATGCGAAGCTCAGCAGTGGGATAGTGGTCAGCGTTGGCAGTCATCTTCTGGTGGATTGCTAACTGCCAGTTTTCAAAGGACGGGTCTTCACCGTTGTTCAGCATCGGCGGGTCAGGAATCTTAGTGGATCGGTGACTAGAGGTGTCGGTTCGGTCCCTAGAGAGGGCCCATTTCACAGCAATAGCATTACGCTCTGCAGTTAGGTTGGCAATATCTTTCTTAAGTATCTGGATAGCTTTCTGGGCGCGGTTCGTTTTTTTGATCTCGAGCTCATGCATGCCTCTCATGACCTCGTAGACCACTTCCGGATTCTTCTTGATCTCCTCTAGGAACCTTTCTTTGGTCATAGGAATTCGATGGATATCAATGTCGTCCATTACCTGCTCCGAATCATGGAACAGTTCTTCTTCAAGGAAACCTTTATCCTGTTCCTCCACTGGCTGATCATCGGCGAACTGATCGTCCTGAAGGTCCTGTAGATCGTCTGCGGGCTCTCCCTGGCGTGCAAAGGCACGGAGCGAAGAGCGGGTTCTCGGGTTCATTCTGGTTCGTTCTGGTCTTGGTGCAATTTGGTTGTCGTGTAGTTGCCTCACGGGAAAAGGGTTCAAACGGATCACAAGGCTTTATACCTACTGATTGCCCAGTGATATGCCTTTAGTGTGTCTGCTTGAAGTGTAAAGAAAAAGGTGATGGGAAAATTATGTGACGGTCTACAAAGGAGCTTCGTAAAAGACAAGTTTGTTTATGACTCGTAGTCAAAGAATTTTCCCATAGGGAGAAAAGGCTCTCTAGGAGGGAGGATCCAGGGGCTCTATATACTGCCTGGGGCTTTGCCTCAGGTAGGAATGCTTGTAGGATACCTAGGAATGTTCCTAGATGCCTACCGCGGAGGACCCCTTGATCCTATACTAACTAACCGGAACGCTCCGGAGGAACGTTCCTCCGTACAGGGAAGCTCCCTGGCTTCAGGAGGTAACAACATGGTCGCCGACGCAGGGCCCAATTCTAGATCACGAGCCTTGCCCAGCCCTATCCCAGTTCTATCTGGAGTGGGACTGAGTGGATAGACTGAATGAGAGGTCTTAGCCCAAATTTATTGAGTTTTAATCGTGCTATGGTGATTCATGATTTGAAAGGTGTACAATTTCCAGGGTACGATCTTGTCCGTACGGTTACAGATCTTTTTTATGCGAACAGAAAGGAATCACAATCATCATCATTCCTCATTTCAAAGAGCACAACAATGATAGAAAAGAAGGGTGCTGGGAACGGAAAGTATTTCGCGACATCAAATTTGGCCCCCAAATTAAAACCCCTCAATGCGCTAATGAGCCTTAACTCGATGTAGAATAGTGTCACAGACCGAATTTGACACATTGACACTAAGATGAGAGACTAACAAGAGCCCTCAGATCGCGCCATCCATATAATTCAATTTTTTAACTCGAAATTCACTTCCAACTATACAATCAAATCATGGCCATTAGCACATCCACCCCCAGCCAAGAGCTGGTGATCGGCACACGCAACTCCAAGCTAGCGCTGGTGCAAGCCAAGCGCGTCTCGCACGACTTGGCGCAGCGGAACCCCGGATTCCAGTTCCCATGGCGCACTGTATCCGTGAGCGGCGATGTGGACAAGACCAGCCCGTTCTTGAAATTCGGGGGCCCGTCCGACGCAGCCAAGAATATCTGGACGGAGGATATGGAAGCGAAGCTCAAGGCCGGAGAGCTGGATTTGCTAGTCAATTGTCTGAAGGATATGCCGACTCGGTTGCCTGAGGGTTGTGTGCTGGGGACTATTGTGCATCGACAGGATCCGAGCGATGCGTTTGTTGTGAAGGAGTCGTTGCGCGAACAGTATACGGATCTGGCACAGTTGCCGGCCGGTTCGGTGGTGGGCACGAGTTCGACGAGACGGAAGGCGCTGTTGGCGTATAAATTTCCGCATTTGGTGGTGCAGGAATGTCGTGGCAATCTGTAAGTGCTCGGTCAGTTTCTTGTTATACATAGGAAAAATTGTTGACAGTATCAGGGACACTCGTCTCCGCAAACTCGACGACCCAAATGGTCCCTTCTCAGCCATCATCGTCGCCACGGCCGGTCTTGTCCGCATTGACATGGCCCACCGAATCACGAAACGTCTCTGTCCGTCGGAATTTCCCTACGCAGTCGGTCAAGGCGCATTGGGAATCGAGATCCGCGAAGATGATGCCCAGACCCTCTCTATTATTCAGCCAATTGAAGACCGTCTCGTCCGCAAGATTTGTCTGGCCGAGCGATCTCTCTTGCGCACTCTGCAAGGCGGATGCTCGTCCCCGGTGGCTGTTCACTGCACCCCTGGAGCACCGGAAAGCGTCGCAAGCCCTCGACTGAAATTGGAGGGTATGATCATCCATCCTCATGGCACTAAGCAGGTCTCGGCTTCGTCGTCCGCGGATGTCAGTAACGACGAGGATGCGGAGGCATTAGGCGCCACGGTCGCTAGGTTACTAGAGGAGGATGGAGGGAGGGATTTGTTGCGGGAAATTGCATTGCTTTATGAGAGTCAATCGTAATAGTCCAGAAATGTAGCGTTCTAACAGCAGGTTGGAGAGCGGAAAAAAGACGGAGAGCAGCGACAAAAACGTAGAAAGTTGCACTACTTTATGAAAATCAATCTTTATCTCTCAGATCATTGGTGGCCAGCAGCTTGTTACAAACAGAAGAAGAAGAAAACCAAGGAAAAACACAATGACACAGTAACAGTAACAGAAGGAAGTAAAAAAGAGAGAAACGGAAGAACCTGGCTCATTTCTTTCTCCACCTCGTCCTGGCGTGCGCTACGGAACTGGCCTGTTGGAGTTCTTTTCTGCGCATAAAGTTTCTTGTCGCGCTTCCGCTCTTGGCCAGCTCGGGTGTAGCGGCGCGGTTGCTCCCAATTGAGCCGGGCTGCCATCCAGTTTCTGACGTTGCTTTGGAGGATCCTTTTCCTTAGTCCTACTGTAATGTCAAAGACCCAGTGGTAGTACCGGGCCTGCACTTGACCGCGCGGTGAAATGATCCGGATAAAAAATTTGCTCGGTGAGTTGGCCCGTGGTGAGTCATAATCGTATGAAGCTCACGGGCGTTTTGCGGCGCGCCGTACGGTAGGTCATCACTCGGTAGTGTCGAGTCACTTTGAGATTCGTTGATGACCGGGTCCTCCTGTACGACTGTTGCGGAGGAGGATGCTGTCGGGCTTTCGTCGTCGCGGTCTGCTAATGGCTTCCCTGCTTCGACGGAGGATTTTTTATCACTTCGTAATCTCACAAGATGCACAGCGTGAAAAACGGGTTATTCTAAGCAGAGGTTTGTTCATTAGCATTTTCCAAACAAATGGCCTGCAGATAGGATGCAATAGACGGATTTATATTTCTCTGCAATCCCAATCTTCACATACCTTTGGGGCCTTCAATTTGTAATTCGGCTCTCATTGGCGGTTGGAGCCCGAGTAACCTTTTTGGGTACAACTCAATGAGTTACCCCATATTAAGAATAATGTCATGTCTAAGCCATGAGAACGCTTAGGCCTCCTTGACTTTTACTTATTTATAGTCTTGATGGGGTTTTGAAAACTCTCCCAGACTATACTCCTTCACCAGACTATTCCTTATGGTAGTTTAAATATCTCTCTTTCCACCGGAACAAGAGGGCAGAGTATCGTGAACTTTTTTTCAGTTTGAATGAAGAACAATAAACATTTTAATCATAGCGCACGTTCCTTTAACTGGCAAAGATATCATCCGACAGCCACTTCTCGATTTACTTGTATCGGATGATTATCGTACTCGGTCCAAATCAACCCTCAAGCTTTGGTTTCTATCAACTTTGGCAATTTGGGATATCGAGAAAGAAGCAAGGCACTTTTCAGCGTCCATAAATTGGACAGCTGATATTCTGGGCTACGATATTCCAAAACAAGAAAGAATCTTTTATGGCGATGAGCATTCTGTGGTCGGTCGCTAGAATCTTTGCTATGACTTAACACCTATACTGCAAGAGTATATTCAATCAGGTCTTCATTTCGCTGACTACAAATGTGCAATTAATCAGAAGAACTTTAAAAAGGTTCCTGATTTTGTTCTTCTCGATAAAGAGCACAAGCCAATTCTTGTTGGCGAGGCAAAAACACCCTGGCTGCATGATATTGAAACAGCCCAAGCTGAGAATGTAACGTTTCGAAACTATCTTGGTAAGCTCCGAGTCCATAGTTAACTAGCGCTTTCATCCGTGCATTAACCCTTGCTTATGAAACACAGGTCAGATCGCTATGTACATGCGCGCGACCAAGTGCAGATTCGGATGGCTTACCACGTATAACCAGAGTATGTTCTTGAAACAGGAGCCACATCCAACAAAGAAGTACAAATGGGTCCTTTGTCACTCACTGTCACGGACTGTGACCAGCCTCCGAAGACCTTCCTTCGTGATACCCTATAACCTAACTACCCGATCGGGACTAGCTTCACAACCTAGCTTAGTTTCTTCGTTGAATGCATACCCTACATTCTCGCGATTCCTTATCCCCTGCGTAGCCGTTCGTTACACCAAAATAGTTACTGTCAGCGTTTCGCTATTGGAATCTACATATACGCGGCTTGTCTTACCCAAATGTGTTGTTTGTCTCATTCTGCTTTGTCCACATCATGGCCGAAATATACGTTCACGTAGCGGGGCTCTAATCAAAAAACCAGCTGGTAAAATATCCCTTCCTTGCTCAGAAACCGGAAAATTGATTATATTCAGATATGGTCTTCTGATAGTTAAGAGGTAGACTCAAGAAAATCCTGTAAACATTACCTCGCATTTGCAGAGTTTACCGATTTGCCCTGCTACAAAATATCGCTCTCAGTCGCAATAATCTTAGCATAATATGTTTCTCTGCCTGTCGATATTGTTCAACTGCCCACAGCAAAACTCTAGTAACAGAGTTAGAGTACCTAAAAGTAAACTTAGTACACGAAGCCTTCCGATCTACTTGCTCGTTTACGGTATCTCGCCGGATTTTAGCTTTTCCCTGACCTTATGGCGCGAAGCTCCTGCATACGATTATTCAAGATATTCTGGCTGTTGCATGGCACCTAGATCGCCCATTGAGATAGTGATATAGACTACGATCAAAGAACCAGAATAAAGGATGCTTTGTGGTAATACTATCCATTCTCTTTGTTTTAACCCTACTAGGGACTAGCCCAATCATACTTGTTTCACAGTAATCTCTTTATCTTAGGTGCCTATAAAATTCCTCTTACCAACGGGTCCGGATTCTTAATCTCTGCAGTCTTCTTTTCGGTTACTCTACCTGTCTAAAATCTCTATATGCCGTTCTCCAAGCATCAGCTTCAACAACGGAAGTGTCGCACGTTCTATCCTCTACCTTTATTTTGGGAGGAACTCACGAAGCTATAGTTAACTAAGAGCGCGTTACGAGAAGCTGACCGACGATACTATCTCCTATCCTCAAATCAAAGTAGCTCGTTTCCTCGCCCTCATACCTTTGTTCCGGATTTCTTGCGCAACTGCTCAGCTACTTGTTTACAAGAGATCAGAAAACTTTCCCGCCGTAAAGGGCCAGACCTATCAGATATCAGAAACGTAGGTTATCGCTAGACGTTTCTCTATGAAATGGACGCATGGCATACTAACTAGGCAGCCTTACTTCTAGTATCCAGTACCAGCCGACTTCAATCAGTACTCAATGGATCCTACCGACTCCAGCTCGAAGTGCCCCATTCCAAAGACCGGAAATACGACGGCCTACGACCCACACTTTGAAAGCCATCTGAAAGACTATGGTATTTTTCTGCCTGATTCTACATACCCAGATGGGACCGAGGTCTGTGAACCGGAAAATATTGCCGAGATCCAAAGACGGTTACGAGCCCGTCGCCCGTCTCTCGCATTATCTGAAGATTCCTTGCGCAAGGAATATAAGGAATTCAAGCGACTCAATAACAGGACCTCTGACGAGCGGCTTGTGATCAAGAAAATCCTTCCAATCCTCGACGGTTCGCAACAGTCGTCTTTCCACGATGGCGGCAATCACCCATTCACGAACCTGGCGCCGCTCACGAACGGTACCCTCGCCAATGCTAAGCCTGATATTTACCACGGCGCGCTGCATCACCAGCTGCATTCTCGTGTCCGGGAACAGCTCAGTGACCAGATCATCCCCACCCGGCAGACCAACCGTCCTATCACGCCTAATTTTTTTGTCGAGACAAAGGGCCACTATGGCTCGCTGCCCGTGATGGAACGTCAGGCCTTGTATAATAGCGCTCTAGGCGCCCGAGCGATACATTCCCTCCAGCAATATAGACGTGCGCAAGAGAAGTGCCGCAGTAACAGCAACAGCAGTAACCGACCACAGGATAACGATAATTGCTCTGATCCTGCGCCTGTTCCTGGCCCTGCCCATGATTCCACTCACGATAATCACGCCTATTCGATCGTTTCTACTTTCCAAAAGGGAACGCTAGGCATCTACGCGACCCATCCGACGCGGACTCCGAGCAATATCGACCCCGGCGCAAACCGTCAGACGGATTACGTGATGACCCAGGTCGGGCATTACTCCTTGATCGGGAGTCCAGAATCCTACCAACAGGGTCTAAACGCGTATCGCAATAGCCGGGACCTGGCGAAAGAATATCGGGACGAGTTTATCAGGCAGGCAAATGAGCGACATGAAGCTGGTCGATAGACTCTCATGATGTTGAGATTTCCTGATGAATACGGGGTGCGCGGGTGAGGAAGATGGCAAGGATCGATGGAGAGAGAGAGAGAGAGAGAGAGAGATACGTGGGTGATTGAGACGGTCTGATATGGTCGGTAGGCTGGATTTTAGATAGAATGAATTGTGACGGCAGGCTCCTATGTCATCTAGATATTTGCCTTATTTGCTGAATTTGTTGTATTTGCTCTGTTTGTTACGTTTGTCTTCCCTGCAGGATTGACATCCGTATCGCCTGGTTCCTTCTTTCTTTCCTTCCTTCTCCACGTGTGAAATTCTAGTTTCTAGCACCAAAATGCATCTATTTTGAGCGTCTTGATCGGCTTTCACAGAATTATAACCCTAGCTAGGTGCTGTAACTAGATATTTGGTACATGAATCAGCACTTAACTAGATGTGCCACTGACAGGCAAAACTCTTTCCGATCATTATTAGAAGGCGTGGGTACAGTAGTTAAAAAGACGGCAAGCCTAAACAGACGTTCATTCAACTATCTGGCGCTATATTTCAGAAATCTAAGCATGGAGAGGAAAATATTGACAGGATCGTGATTCGTGGTGTTGTGGTGACAGGCCGTTAGACATCCCGTTGGATAATCCATGTCTATCTTGGATTACTGTGCTGGGGAGTGGGATTTTTACTTTACATAAGTTCGTGCGGATGTGGTATAGTCACGTCAGGTTAGCTGTATAGTCGAGCCGGGATGTTCAAGTCATTTATTTATAATTTATTCGAGGTTGAGGAGTCTCAACAGAAAACTGTCTTGTGATAGAACGTTCCTAAGCGCTTAAATCTAAATCGTAGACATACGATATCCTAGTTCAAAGGAGTGGAAAATTGATCAGATGAATAACTGTTCCATTCCGTTCTAAAAGAGATATGAAGATATTGGTAGTCTTCTAGCAGGTTGCAGCGCTCTGCTGACCATTTTATGGCCTGTTTCAACCACACCTAGAAGAACAGCAGCGTCTTCCACGCGCCTGTCACAAATCATTTCCACAGCGTAGTATGGTTAACGCACCCGTCTTACCGGGACTGTTCCTCGTGGCGAACCTTCCCCTGATGGTTAACCATAACTGTTTAGCAAATTCAACGCACAAGCATTTGGTAGCACCAGTGAAAAGGGCTGGCGATATGAGGCACGGCTGAGAAGTTGGGCTCGATAGGCTTGTTAGGACAAAATGTCGGGAGGCCGCCCAAGAAGCGAAATCTTCGAAGACAAGCACGACTCAAATGTCCAGCTGGACCAGGTACGGAACGAAGCTCTGTAGCCGATTTGGGGCCTGATTGCGGGAGTGTTGCAACGTGAAGTGATGCGACTAGGCAGGTGAAGTGCCAGGGAAGCTTTGCCAGGGAAGCTTTGTCCCAGCTCGAGCAGGACCTAGGGCACCTATGCAATGGCGTCTATTATTCTCCACCCTGCTACATTTTGATATGCATAGCACCTTAAACCCACTACAGACGTCAGACTTACAAAATACTCGCTTCACTTAGCAGTAGGCTGAACTTTAAGAGAATAATTGATGCGCTGCGTCATTCTTCCAGTAAGTCAAACCACTCTGGTATCTCCTTGATTAGAGAATACATGTATTTCTCCAGCTTGATCGCACACTTGGCATATACCGTTGTTGCATCATTATACTGCCGACAATTGTTAAAGATCAACTTGAGATCATTAACAAGGTCTTTCGGGGTAGAATAGGAATCGTTCTCCAATCTTTCTTCCATTGCTGACAAATCCATTGGAGATTCAATAACGTTGTAATATTCCGGGACCTCCTCTTTGTTGACCGGAGAGAGGAAGGGTCATGCTTGTTTGTGAGCTTGAATTTTGCTAAGAAAGCGTCGAAGTTCGTTAAAATGAGGCCCATGTCGTGGTTCCCGTGCTAGCTTGTACCACATGTCCGGAGACCACCGAGTAGCTCGAATGGCAGGAATAGAGAATGAATCAATCGGAGTGATAACGCCGTTAGCCCATTGCTGAGGCGGTAAATGTATGATGTGATTTTTGCTCAAGGGGCGCATTTTAGCTAGAACAGTTTCCTTCTGCTTAAGAAGCATACGACCAACTTCGAGATACCATATTCGGGGAAGCATAGAGTATTGCATAAGTGTGCCGCCTTCATAATCCTTGATGTAGCCCATCCAGATGAACCTGTCAAGCGTGATCTCTTTGGTAAAGCCTTGTTTTTGGAAACACCCCGTGGCGTAGTTATCAGCGTAGGTCAGAAAATGCATCACGGGGGAAGTGCCTTTAACGTAGTCCTTTAAGTGGGCCATAAGATGCGCTCCGTATCCCTTCACCTGCTGGTCCGATGAGACCGCACAGAACACGATTTCAGCGTAACTTGCGGTATCGGACTTCTCGAAATGTAATTCCGCCAATGACTTCTAGAGGCGTTTTGACGATAGCCAAAGACAAGTGAGTGCGATCATAGACGAGACGGGCGATATAATCTTTGGGCATCTTCGGTAGCTGCTTTTGAAACAGGTTTTTGAGACCTGTCGGGATAACCGTACTCTCTGTAGAGCCATCATTATTGACAACCCGAAACTCTATCTCACCGTTTCGTTCTTCAATAACTGCAGGCTTCAGGACAGTCGGAGGGCTTCAAGACATTTCAAGGACCGAGCATAGCTTCTCTGGAAAAGGAACAATCCGGGTTATCGCGGGAGGCTGTATGATCGGCGGTATCTCCCCATAATGAAAGCTTTTAGTTCTTTTGGCATCGGGGGCAGTATTCGGCTCTTCAGGGGTCGTGCGCTCCGCGACTAGGGGGTTTTGTACGCTGTCGACTAGAGATGATTGCGACTTTGCTTCGTCCATCTGCGTTAGAAATTCCAACGAATCTGGACGGCCAAAATGTATATATAAGCTTGCAAGAAATCCTCAGTCTCTAGAATTATCGCTGACTTCTACTTTGAATAAAGGGAATGGTAAGTGACTTGTTGGATGTTTTGTGTGATGACAACCCCCCTCTTTCGCGCTAGGAATCAGGTCCGCCAACACACGCTAGTCCCGATTATATGGCCATGTGACAGAAAATTTTTGTGGGAAGCGATGGATAGATTGTGTATTGGGTGGCCGGTGTGGCCACTTGAAGAAATGGATTCAAAAGCTATAATAGTTGCGAATGCACTACGTTCCCTTGGAAATACAGTGCGCGGAGCCAACCCTTACCTTATACAGTAGGCTATTAAGGTCTGCGCACTCCGCTCACGCCCTGGCCCCCATACGAGAATAATCTCAAACAAGGTCCAGAGCCACCTTGATAAGATAACCCGGGTGATACTAGCCGGGGCCAGAGCGATTCTCCCAGTCTACTGTACAACCCCAACCCCTGCACTTTACCGGGAGTCAGGGCTTCTGCCAGCAGAGATTGAACTAGACTATATAGCTGCTACTGCTACAGTCCGTCTCCGCCGTCTTGACCGCTACCACCCTCTCCGCAGGAGGGCAGAAAGAGTAACCCGAACTCGCCTTCAGGCCAGCCGTTTTGCACGCCGCGTGCTAGCCCTCCCTGAGTCAGAACAACTGAACCCACTGCAAAATGCCCCCTGGATCCCATAAGAGGCACGCAAAGCAGTTCAACAGCGAATCAGAGCCCCTACATGCAGGCATGTCTAAGAAGCAGGCAGCTGATAGATTTCAAAGATTCTATGCCTCCCTCCTACAGACCGATATAAAGGTCTTCACAGATGGCTCGAAACTAGAAAACAGGATGGCAGGCGGTGGATATGCCCTATATCAATCTGGAAGGCTGATCCAACAGTCCTCCTTCTCCCTGGGACCGAACAAAGAGGTCTTTGATGCTGATGTTGAAGCAGCCCTAGCTGGAGTTAAAGCGGCTTTTAAATTGGATACTGCCCGCTTTGCCACTAACCTCTGGGTCTGTCTAGATAACCTAGAGGTAGCTACACGTCTCCTTTCACCTTTCGCAGGTTCATCCCAAGGGGTCTTCGAATCCTTCCAAACCCCTAGCCCAGACCTGGCCGATTCTCATACACTAATGGCGGTTCTTTACGAGTCTGCTGGGCCCCTGGTCACACACAAATACCTGAGAATGAGGCAGCTGACCAAGCTGCAAAGAAGGGTGCTGCCATGGACCCTCCCTCCTCAAGTGAACACTCGTATGCCTCGTTAAGGCGATAGGCTAAGGCAAATGTCATGACTGCTCTTCAGAGATACTGGCAGTCTACGGCCCCTCAATCCTATCAAGACCTTTGGATTACCAACTTCCCTAGATGCCTTGCAGAGCTAAAGCTCCCAAGGCCGCTTCTAGCACGGATCCTAGCCGCTCGTACGGGCCACGGAGACTTTGCAGCCTATCACGAACGGTTTAACCATAAAGATGCCCACCTTCTCTGCCGCTGTGGCGCAAGAAAGACTACAGTTCACTTTCTCTTCTGCTGCATTGCAAAGAAGAGGCGCCTGCTCCGACCTTCAGGCTCTCTTCTGACATAATCCCCTACCTGCTAGGCACCCTAAAAGGTGCAACCGAGCTGGCTGCAAGGCTATCAGAAACCCGTTTCTTTGAGGATATATGTACTCGGCATCCACTACCACAGCCAGACTGAGATTCCCCCACCTCAAAAAAAAAAAAAAAAAAGTGGTAGGATAGGTCTCAGAGATTTGGAGGACCTCTGCAGCTGGCATTAACTTCTGCCTGATCCACAGGCTCTGCTTCTTGACTGCAGCAGCTATTTAAAGCGCTAAAATCCCTTATCTGTACTTAGAACTAGAACTAGAACTAGTTAGTGACGTCGTTCATCGTCAATAGGCTCTCCTGTCCGAACGTAATTGAAGCCATCCCAAACCGTACCATCGGGACAGGGAGGGGGCTCTGGTTTTTCGTCGGCACACATTGGCCATCGGAAAGGTGGAAACCGGGTAAGCAAGGCTCTGGTGGAGTCGTCTGGGGTTCCCCGCGCGCCATGAAGAGCCACCAGGGGTACTTGTTCCGGTCTATGATCGGTTGACCCGAATGTGTTGTGAGATAGCATCGTCGAGCGCTGGCATGCCAGATTGTTCTGGTGCACGTAGCATCTTCCTGGGTACAGAGCAGAGCGCAGTCCACGGCCGTTTCCACGCCCCGGGTCGGGCCAGTGACACCCTCCCATACCCAAGCATTGCAATAATAAGTGAATGTCACTCCTCCGGTCCCCCGGGGTTGCTCATGAGCAGCCGGACAGATTATTAAAGTGCTGCTGCCCAGAAATGAGTTGGGCTGTGACAGCTCCCAGCAGGGCTAAGGTGATCATCTGACTCTCGGCCGTCATCGTGACTTCTTACGAGCAAGGAGAGGGAAATTAAATAAAGTTCGAAGATTCAGCAATACTGACGTAATATCATTAGACAAGAGTATGACTGGTTCCTCGAGGTGCTTTCAGTCCTTTTAGCTAAGAAAGGACATGTCAATACAAGGCTGGAGTAATTTCTCTCGTCCACCATAAACAACTTTGAATGACATGTCTATGTCTTCTATTTCCCCCCCCCCTTTTCCCAATTGCATTTCCTTTTTGTTTCCCCCGCCCGGTTCTCGTTTTCCAAGGCTCACCTGGGTTGGGCCAGAGCCCTAGAGTCCTTCATCAAACATGGGTCCTTCAACGGTGAAGCTCATCCGTTTCGTCACTCACACGTCGACATCCTGTCTATCGTTAAGGTTCCTTCTGTCCAACCTTCCACGTTGCTATAGGCTCTCAACATTGTTTTTTGACAAACATCTGAATATGAAACAATCTTCACTCTGAACTATATCGACTACATTCTTACTAGGCCACGACGGGAAGCAGGAACGCGAAAAATGTTTGAGCAGTGTCTCCAGGGAGACTCATTTACCTCTGGCAAAATGAACAGACTGTCATGCCAAATGATAAACCCAGCCATCAAGATGACAGGAAATATCGAGGAGCACTCTCCCCGGTGACCGATTCTATACACAAAAGCTAGTAGAACGGTCCCAGGGTATGCTCAGTCAAACAGACCATCTACACAGCTACCACGGTTAGAGATAGGAGTGCTCATCCAACAAATTATACCACGGCGCAGAACTATCCCGTCCGGGTCGTTTCATGTTCGGTACGCCCCTCTTTGTGGAATAATTCACCCCAACGTGTATCTCCTGGGTCAAGCCAATGCTGGCAACCGAACAACGAATATCTCGGTTACGAGGTAATACTTGCTATAAGTGAATACGGTTTTTCAGGATTCCTCATTTCTCACCCTCTGTCTCCACTTGCTGGCCTATCTCCGCGAACTCGAGTTGTATCCTTTGTTGTTTTCGGGAACCTCGACTATGCCGAAGCTACCTCACACCCTGGTCTGGCTGGTGGCTCTCCAGGCCGCTGCCATTGCTCAGTTATCTAAACAGACCGTTTTCACTTCATCCTCTCAGTCGCCAGTCCGTCTAACCCTCAATGACATTGTTCCTTCTCTCGACCCAATATCTGGCCAGGTCAAATGTTGCCCTGTGGGCACCGTTTTCGACGGCCGCGACTGTGCCTTGGGCCAACCTATCTGCCCACCAGGGAGCAACCCACGAGGTGACCACTGCATCTCAATTAGTGACCCTAGCTGCCCCGATGGAAGCAATTGGCGTAATGGCGCCTGTGAAACCGCTCATCCGCCGATATGCCCTCCGCCCCTCGTTCCCCGTGGCAGTGTCTGCGTTCATGAGGAGAGCCCTAGGTGTCCTTCCGGGTTCTATCTCGAAGACAATATCTGTGTGGCGAATGAGCGACCGTCTTGCCCCGACGGTGGCCATTTCAACGGCCGAAGTTGCACCCATCCCTCTCGACCTAGCTGTCCTCCGGGCTCTGAGCCCTGGAACAGTGTCTGCGCTATCACCAATGACCCTAATTGTCCCACTGGCACCCGATTCAACTCGATCACTCGCAAGTGTATTTCCACCGAGAGACCGCAGTGCCCAGAGGACAGTACCCTAGACGGGAACAACTGTGTTTCCAATGACCCTCCTAACTGCCCCAATGGGTCTAAATACAACAGATTAACCGAAACCTGTATTGCACCTGACAAGCCTTCCTGTCCGCCTGATTCTCATCCCGTCGGCGACCGATGTGTCTCGGACGAGCCACCTGCTTGCCCCAGCCCCTCTAATGTTATATCATACGACCCAATCTTGAAAACCGTTCGTTGCTGCCCGGTCGGAATGTCCTATAACGGTGTCGTGTGCGTGGTCCGCCCTGGTGCCGACGGCCAATGTCCCCCTGGCACCGTCCCGGAAGGCGATCGCTGTACAGTCCCGCCGACGCAGCCTCCTCGCTGCCCACCTGGGACTGATATCGAAGGGACACACTGTGTCTCGCGCGAAAAACCTGTTTGTCCTCCGGGTCTCGACCTGATTGCCGGCGATTGTCATGAAATCGAATCCCCGAAATGTTCAGACCACATGCGTCTTGTGAACGGCCAATGCACCGCCATCGAGAAGCCTAGTTGCCCTGACGAAGGAACTGAACTCGAGAACGGCGAATGTGTTAGTCTTGAACCTCCGCACTGCCCGGAGCACTCCACTTGGGACGGCAGCAATTGCATCACGGACGACACAGTCAAATGCCCAGAAGGCAGCGTTTGGAATGGGGAAGAATGTATCACCCCGAAGCACCCCAAATGTCCGGACAATACGCATTTTGATGGGAGTCGCTGTATGTCAGATGTGGCCCCTCGATGCCCGCCCGACACCATCCCTGATGGCGAGAATTGCATCTCCAGACATACCCTCCGCTGTCCGCCTGGAAGCCATCTGACCAACGGCCGCTGCATCACTGGTGACACGCCCGAATGTCCCACAGGGACAATTGTAGCTGGTGAGCATTGTTTGTCTACTGAGGATCCAATTTGCCCCCCTGGTTTCACCTGGGTTGGCGGCCGCTGCGTTTCCGACGTCGACAAATACTGTCCTCCGGGATACGTGGCCCGCGATGGCGAGTGCGTCTCAACCAGCGACCCAATCTGTCCCCCAGGCAGCACTCCTCGCGGCAACGCCTGTGTTGGCAGCGATCCGGTGTGTCCTGAAGGCACGGAGCGCCATGGCAACGACTGTGTATCCGAACACCTGCCGTCCTGCCCGCCGCCAACTGTTCCTCGCGGCCGCATCTGTGTGCTTGATGGCGGCCCGGACTGTAAGCACGATGAAGTCTTCAACCGCAAAGAGAACGCCTGCGTTACGGTTGAGCAGCCGCGGTGCCCGCCTGGTCAGGTCGTTCGGCGTGGACGCTGCGCTTTGGGAAGTGGCGAGGAATGTCTGGAGTTTTTGTACTGCCCTATTTTCTCAATTAGTACGTCTGCCTAGATCACGGATGTATGCCGTCTGATTGAGTAACGTTGGGTTTGGTGTGTTTACTTTCTTCATATTGCTAGCTCCCGATATCATCTACGTTAGATACGCCCGTTGTAACTATTAAACGTTGAAGTTCTGGATTAATCGAGATCTCAGTCGCCTACTCCTCACGATCCCCATAATTGTGGGCGTGACGGGTATGGCTGTTGAAGAACGGTTAAACTACTCTCTCTTGGCTCTAGATATCTCGGCTAATTGGACGAAGCTTTATAAATAGTGCTACATCCAGGCCGAAGTCAATACGCTTATTGGTGACGTGGGTTAGTGCTAATCCAATATTGCGGAGTAGCTGAGAGGACCTTTCCGGATCCTTCATCTTTATAAATTGCCTCTCTCTGGGGCCTGGGCGCTTTTGAATGCCGGGAAACACTTTTCCGAATATCTATCTTTCACAACCATCGTAGTTTCAATCGAAGAATTCGAACTTTCTTTCTGCAATTCAAACATTATTAGCTCTATTAATCTTTTCCATCCAAGGTATGTCGATCGAAGGGGCCTCCCAGGCAGTCAGGCAGTTCGACCCCAAGAACATGCAATACCGATTTCTAGGCAAGACAGGCCTTAAAGTATCCGCACTGTCATTCGGATCCTGGGTGACTAGTACAGCTAGCTCCGACAATATTCCCCCATTCACCCACAAGATTTACTGACAGCACGACAAAGTTGGCGGACAGGTAGGCTACGAATCGGCCCGCGACTGTCTCCTCGAAGCATGGAACGACGGCGTCAACTACTTCGACACAGCGGAGGCCTACGCATCAGGAGAATGCGAGCGCGTCTTTGGCCAAATCATCAAAGACCTGAACTTTAAACGCAGCGATCTCGTAATCTCCACAAAGCTATTCTGGGGCGGACCCGGCCCAAATGACACCGGACTCTCAAAGAAACATTTATTCGAAGGGATGGAAGCTTCACTGAACCGACTGAGTCTAGACTACGTGGACATTGTGATGGCCCATCGTCCAGATCCACTAACGCCCATGGAAGAAATCGTTCGTGCATTCACCCAAATCGTCAATTCCAGACAGGCGTTATACTGGGGAACATCAGAGTGGAATAGCCATGATATCGAACGAGCTCATCACATGGCTGCGATCCATCACTTGATTCCTCCATCTTGCGACCAACCACAATATAATGGGTTTTGGAGAGAACGAGTCGAGCTAGAGCTATTACCTGTGATTCGAAACTACAACTACGGGTTGACCGTGTGGTCGCCTCTTGACAACGGCGTCCTAACAGGGAAATACAGCCAGGGTATTCCGTCAGATTCACGATTCGCTGCCACGACCGTGACAGGTTCTGATAAGCAGAACATGGTTAATTTTGGGAAAGCGTTGGATACGCCGGAAGGGCGGTCCAAGATGAAGCGAGTAAGTGAGCTGAAAGACGTGGCTGATGAGTTGGGATGCACGACTGCTCAGCTGGCTTTGGCGTGGTGTTTGACGAATGAGCATGTTTCGACTGTTATCACCGGGGCGAGTCGTCCTCAGCAGGTGGCGGAGAATATGAAGGCTGTGGATATTTTCGTGAAGTTAAGGGAGAGGGGTCGAGGTCCGGGAGAGGATTGAGAGCATTCTCGGAAATAAGCCTATTCAGCCGGGTTTGTATGGTCGGTGGGCTTGATATGGTACTGAAATGCTGGTCCCTGCGCCCCTACAAAGGCCCACCTCCCGGTGCCTACTCAGGGCGTATAGAGATCAGGCTACTACTCAATCAATTAGGAGTGACGAACTCGATGAAAACTTGCTTTAATTGACCAGCTTGGAATGATGAAAGAACATGGTGTAAGCTGATGGACTGGATCGGCCGCTCGGCGGTTCGGAGGCGGAGGGGGCGGAGGGGGTTGAGGGTGTTGTTGCTCATCGTTTCCGCCATTGCCTCCGCCAGGTGGAGGCGGCGGTGGTTGTCCATGTACGCTTGGTCCCGGCCTATTGACCGGCAACGGTGGCTGAATGGGGCCTGGGTAAGGGCACACCGGGTACGGATGGGCAGGCCAGGGGTAATATGGTGGCTATCTGTAATATTGCTGTCTACATCCCATTCCCGTAAGAAGGAATAGTCATTTTTTATACCGCCGGTCATACGGGTCGGCAGGTCCCTCGCCCTCCAACCACTCACATAACTGCGCGCCTTATCGTCTTTACAGAAACATCGGTCGCTTAGTCGTCGTAAAACGATGAATAGGCCGATTCATAATAAATTATACCTATAGAAACGATTCTGAGGTTATATGAGTGTGGTACTGCGGTAATTAAAATATAGTGGTGGGTGGAGGGGTCGCGGTCAGAAGGTATAGAGTGAAGGTAACTAAAGTGAGGTGAGATATAATACTACGTAATCGCGAATAGATAGTTAGTCGCTTGAAGGGAACTGTCGCTCAGGTAAGAAGGTAATCGTAATAGACGCGAAACTGGGTTATATAATAGCAGCTGAACCAAAAAAACGACGGATCTAGATAGCGGCGAGGTTGAGATAGATAGGTGGTGAGAAGGTTATAGGAAGAGGTAGAGGGGCAGAAGAAGAAGGAAATAGAGGTCGAGGATCGAGGATAGCGTCTATCCAAGCGAGCCCTATAATCATTGATTTGGACCGAAGGGACTATCTCACAGTACCTACCGAAAGCATTTTTTCTGTAGGAGAGTTAAGAGGACGGGTGTGCTATGTCAAGTTGGTGTGTTCCTTTGCGATAGATCCAGCAATCGCCCCCAACCCAGCATTACGCATATGTATTCCGACCATCCAGGGCCCAAAGCATATTTGTAGAAGTGATCTCCCTTATGTTGGGATTTAGGGCTCTGATAGAATGGAAATCAATTACGGGCTATCCTGCAATGTCAACGTGGTATGATCATGCTGAACATCTCGACTAGCTATTTCCAGAAGACGACACTATTGAACGGAGGCTTGTCCTAGGTAAGTAATCAAATTGAGACCGCGTCCCATGGGTGAAATCATGGCTTTTGTTTGGCCGTAACCCCCCTGATATATTCCTATATTGTCAATGGTGATGTTTAGGTACATCAATAGCGCATGGACCTGTTCCAATAGCAGCATGTGTCGAATATATAGACCAATCCCTCCCCTAAGCCAATTCAACGCCTTGTAAATCCTACTAATCTTCACTTCATACCATACTCTACCATATAGTAACATTTTAATCCACCATCATGACCACAACCGACACGTTTGACAAAGAACCATTCTCAATTCAAGCCACGGCCACCACCGAAGGAATCACCACTATAACGATCAACCGACCGCACCGCCGCAATGCCATCGACGGGCCCACCGGGCGGAAACTAACAACCGCATTCCTCAACTTCGAAAACGACCCAACCCAAAAAGTCTGCGTATTCTACGGCGCCCACGGCAACTTTTGCGCGGGGTCCGATCTCTCCGAAGTCGCCAAGCTAAAAGAGACCGACACCGCCAACAACTCCGGCCCACGCATCGGCGCCATCGGCCCATCTCGCATGCAGATTCGGAAACCACTGATAAGCGCCGTATGCGGGTACGCAGTAGCAGGGGGGACAGGACTCAGCCTTCTCGGCGACATCCGCGTAGTCGAAGAGGACGCAACATTTGGGATCTTCTCTCGGCGGTGGGGAATCCCGCTAATGGACAGCGGAACAGTTCGACTCCAAGCCATGATTGGGCTCGGTCGAGCACTCGATATGATCCTGACAGGTCGGGCGGTTGGTGCGCAGGAGGCTTTGGCGATGGGTTTAGCGAACAGGGTCGTTCCGAAAGGGAGGGCGTTTGAGGAAGCGACGAACATTGCGAGGCAGCTGGTGGCGTTCCCGCAGGGAAGTCTGAATGCGGACCGCGAGTCATGTTACTATGCTGTTTATGGGGCTAAATCGTTCGAAGATGCGATGGGGTTCGAGTATGATAATGGGATGAAGGTTGTTTATCAAGAGAGCGCTAAGGGGGTAGTGAGGTTTGGTCGTGGTGCTGGGAGACATGGAAAATTTGATTTAAGCGCAAAGCTTTGATTTCGGCCGTGTTGGTTGTAGTTTCCTAAATAGCAGTAATTTCTAGTCGTAGTAAATCCCTACGAGCCTCTGACTTCGAATCGTATACCAAAAAAAAAAAAAAAAAAAAAAAAAAAAAACCCTTCTTTCTCTATTTGGAATCGAATACGACCGTTTAGGAAATAGGCTAAGTTTATTTAAGACGGTCCAACATGGCCAAATCTAGCAAAACGCAGCATCGCTATATACAGCGGCTTGAGCGCTGGTATAATAGGGCTGCTGCAGGAATAAGAAGCGCAAAGAGCAGGCTTCTTTCAAAATACTTGCTGCTTAGATGAAACGCAAGGCACGCAGAGAGGAGGCAGCCAAAGTGAAGGTGGCTAAAGCAAAGTTGCCAATGCTGGCAATTTCCTCTATAGCAGAGGAAGATATACTCTCCAGGTTCAGTCTGGAAGAGGTCGAGATCGAAAGCCCAGAAGGGTGGGGTATCAGTTCTAGTGAGGTTTTTGAGATTCCCTCTATATTCAGTAAATTTTCTATCATTATAGTAGATTTTATGTACTTTTCTAACCAATATAGCCGAACGTCTTGAAAAAGATAACATAGTTTTCCGCAACGCGCCACTAAATGAAGCGAGACTGAGAATCATTATCGATATTATTATCCGAGCGGCTTTTATCCTCAAGTAGTATGGTTACTGTTGGAACGATGTTATCAACCAGACCAGAGAAGTGGAGTATCTTGACCTAATCCACATACCGCACAGCACCT